GCAGAGTAAGACATGGCATGAAATGAGTGGGAACAAGAAGAGATGGAAGAAAATTGTTCCCATATGAGGAATGGTTAAAAAATTATGTGCTGTCTTATTTAAGAAACTATCTATTAAGTGTGCAAGAGTCTGGGTTGCAAGGATTGAGAAATGGCCCTTTCCTTCTCTAAAATCAGATTCATTCAGAGAAAAGAGGGACTTGTTCATTGTTCTGGGAACTTGAGAGGCTAGAGTTAGTTTTCATTTATTTATTTTTATGTGGTGCTGAGGATCAAACCCAGTGTTTCCCACATGCTAGGCAGGCAGTCTACTGCTGAATACAACCCCTACAGTTAGTTTTATGTGGAATGATATGGAGGGGAAAATAGGTCTGGGATGAGACTTTGTGGGCCAGGGATATAAAATGCTGCATAAGGTCCTGAAGACATGAAAAAGAGAAAGCACGGGTGCACTTTGTTCTGCATGATACGGCTTTAATAGGAAGGTGACATACACAAAGGAAAATGTAATGGTAGGAGATGTTCCAATGACAGAGAGAGAACTGTAAAGCCATTGTGATAGTTCAGGTTAACCTGATAGGAACCAGGCATGGATCTTGAGGACTACAAAAAGGGTACAGATGCAGGAGACATTTCAGGAGTGAAAACAACAGGACGCACAGGCTGACTAAACATGAGACCAAAGGGCGGTAGGTAGAAATCAGGGCTGGTCCTCCAGGAAGCTGCTTCTAGTGAGCGAGCAACATAGCACACAGGACTGAGGACTAGGTTTCAGGAAGGATGGTCATTACGGTTTTAGAAATGAAGTACAGTTTCTGACAGCAGAGGTAAGAGGGTCAGGAGACCCCTGTGAGTGTATTTGTAGGTTGGAAGTGGAGGCTCAGATACACAGACTTGGGAATCAACCTTCTGAGAGGCAGTAAGAGAGAAAGGAACTGCCAAGGAGACTGAGGAACAAGGTAGCTCCCTGGATGTCCTACACATTCCCCTCAGACTTAGAAGTTATCTGATCCCAGATGGTAGAGTGGTAAAGTCTATAATATATATAAATGCCAATGCTTATTTATTACAACATATTTGTGCCTTAAAAAACACACTTCAGGCCTGTGAGCTCATTTGGCTCACAATAGAAGCCCATGAGATAGTGTTTTCATTTCACTTTATAGACGAGGGGACAAAGAGAACTTAGGAGGTAAGTTCTCCAGGAGGTAAGTTCTCCAGTTGGATGGAAGGAGGATTCAAGCCCAGGTTTTCTGAGATCCTCTGTTCTTTTCACATAGGGCCAGTAACGCTGTAGACAATATGGGGAAAAAAAGGCCAAAGTTCTGAACTGACCCACAAGGTTCTGTGTGATTTTTTCACCTACCTATTACCTCTCGGATGGTCTCTTCTACTGTTTCAAAAAAAAAAAAAAGAAAGAAAGAAAGAAAGAAATATTCCTATATAGCTATCCTTTCTCCTTAAACTTGCAGACATTATTCTACCTTAGGGCTTACACTGGATACTCTTTCCTGTCACTTTCAAAATGAGATCCACCACTCCATCCTCCTTGACATTACAATATGTTCTTATCACCTTTTGACATGCCATCTAGCAAACCCACATGTGACTACTGTTTGTTTCCTTTACTACAAGCAGGCCCTAGGAGTATGGCAGGGTTTTCCCATTTTCTGCATTGTGATATTACAAACACCTACAACGATGCCTGGCATATTGCAGAACACAAAGCTCATCAACTCCATGAAGGATTTGGAGCAAGAGGCATCCACTGGGAATGGCTGCTGAGAGAGCTCTTCCTGTGTGTGCTTGGGAAGGCAGCTGCAGTGGGTTCTGGAAGGAACGCTAGTGGGTGCTGGGGAGGAAAGGCTGTGACCTGGGCAAATCTCTTAGGAAGTTTGGTGGAGAAGTAATGAAAGAGATCAGAAAGTGGATAATGAGTCAGAGTACAAATGTAGAGGGAAGAAACTCATAGAACTGGCTTTGTGGTTAAAGAAACCATGTATCTCAACTATACCTCATTCAAGGGCGTTTCCAACATGAAAATCCAAAGCCAAGGTATTTGGAATCAGAGTGGCCTTTGATGACCATTGGAGGTCCATGTTGGAACATCAGAGAGATTAAAACATTCTGCCAGAGGCTATGTTGCCATCTCCAAGTACCATGCAACATCCAAGATATAAAAATAGACCCAACAAAACATGAGAATATTACATCTTATGATTTAGATAGAGCTTCTGGTAAAAAAAAAAAATAAGAGAAATGTGACTCATTCTGATAAATGTCCTCCAATGTTCCTGATCCTGTCCAATAAGGCAGAGGGAGGAAAAGGCTGGAAAAGAAAGGGACCCCACAGTCATGACTAGAGATCTGTGTTAGGTAGTTATGAAGTTTATTCAGTGGGTAAAACAGTGTCTGGTACTAATGAAGAATACAATAAATAAATAGGGATATTTGTGTGTCCAGAGACAAGTAGTTCAATTAGAATTAAGGTCCCATGTGAGTCCTCCTTCCCTTGGCATGTAATAGCCTGAGTCTCTTCTCTGGACCTCAGAGAAAGTGTGTTACTTGCTGAAAGAGGGTTTAGTGGCAGCAAGTCTGTGGACATTATCTTGTGGTGTATAATATACCACAGAAAGACAGTTGCCTTGATTTTTGGAGTCATCTGCCAGGTCATGTAATAACTGTTATATGTTATTGTTCATACAAATCTCTGCATCCTTGTGTTCCACATATCTTTTGGATACAAGGGACACTTTTGGGCAGATGGGACTATGTGAAGATTGTAGTTTTGGTTTTAAATGATTGAATTCAATCTTTTGAGGTCTGTTGATTATCTGTAAAATGATATATATCTTTAAACAGATTTTCTGGGAAAAACAATTACAAACCTATATTGAATATGCAATGTCTGCAGGAATTGTATTTGCTGCTTTTCCTGGATTATAGAAGTTTTTCCCTAACAGCCCATGAAATGCATACCATTACCATCCTTTTACAGATAAAGGAATAGGTTTGTTTGGGCATGTGAAAGAAAACAAAAAACAAATTCAACAACAACAAAAAACAGTCAAATCATGAGTTGACTGCAAATCAGGACGTAAGCCCAGCTGTCAGACTTTAGCACTCACACTCTTGACCAGGGCACCCTAAAGTCTTGTGAATTTCAGAACTTATCACTGTGATTCTATTTTCCATCATGAAGAAGTTTGTTTCCCCCCTTGAACTACTATGTGAGCATCATGTAAATCTTCAAGATGAGGATCTTGAAAGAATTGTCCTTCTTATGGATATGTCACTCTAGTAATGACAGATTGCACAAGAGCTTTGTTACTTGGTTTAAACTTCTGGAGTTGATCCTGCAGGACAGGATAGCAACATTAAGAATAATAGTTGGCTGTGAAAAATCATCCTCTTCCCTTAACAGAATATTTAGGAAGTTTTGGTAGATTAAACAAACCAAAATCAGCCCCAGGTGAATTGCTAACAATCAAATGGGTAAAAAATAATTAGAAAGACCAATTATTTGTTTGAAACTATGAATTGGCTGGAAAATAGCAACATTTCAAATAGATATTTTTAATGCAGCATCATTAGGGTAGCCATGGGGAATTTTTTTTCCCCACACCTATATCCACCAGGATGTGGGAAGCCTAAGAAGTATTCTGCAAGATGTTTTGCAGAAATTTACAGCATGTTTGTTTCTTTATATAATTCACATTTCACACTCATTTTAATAAATTATGCTTTCTATTTTTGGTCGACAATATTTTAGTGACTTTTAAAATTTTGTTTCTGGCTCTGGGGGGTGAATTTATCAAAAGTATCTGAGCACCAAGCAAATGTTTCTATTAGGTATTGTCATGGTAGATGCCTAACCCCAAGGTGGTTTTCATATTTTATTCATTTTAAGCAGTTTTAACAGTCCTGTTTTAACATTTCTTTTAACAAGGGATGTTCCTTTTTTGACTTATGTTTTCATTTGATTTTTTTCTTTCATCATATTTCAGTGGCTTTTTAAAAAAATACATAAATGTAAAAATGAGAAACACACTTTGCTTGCTAATAATTCGGAACATTATTGCACCATTGACTATCTTTGCAGGAATATGCAGTTAACAGTGAGCCCCTTAATTTGATTCTTTTTTTGTTCGCAAAGGGAAAGTGGCAACGATTAGCTAAAATTCTTCAGCATCAACATTTAGAGGTGGTTTTTAATGAGTTCATTCTATCAATTTTTAAAGCTGAGTAGTTTTAAATTCTCAAAACGATACATTTTCCATTCTTAATGAGACTTAGCTACAGTGATTCACACTGGCTGTTGAACCTAGATCTAGAGAAGATAATGATGAAGACTATGAGGACAAGGACATTCTTCTATTATGAGCCATTATGTGTTAGGCCCTGTGTTAACAGCTTATCTCATTTCTCTTGACAATCAAGCAGTGATATTGACAGTTCTGTCTCCTTATACAGATAAGGAGCCTAAAGCAGGCTACCCAAGGCCATTCAGGTATGAAGTGTTAGATAAGGACCAGATCTGAGTCTGTCTACTTTGTAATGTGGTGGTTACCCATTTGAACACAGTGTCTCCTGTTACATAATCAGAGGTCATCCTCTGGTAGGTTCCCTTCCTCCCCAAAGTCCTGAATCTTGAGAGGACTGTTCCCACCAATCCTCAGGTAATCAGGATTCAAAGCTGGTGGATGGCTTTTATTTAAAAATCACTACAAGATTGCACATTTTCAAAGACAGGAGCCCCCCGTTCCCTCTCATAAACACTAGCATTCTTACCATCTTTTTTTTCCCTCTCTGTAGTATGGTGGGACAGATCTTAGCTGAATGCCACAGCCCACAATCTATTATTCTCTCTTTTTTAAAAATGATACACCCTAATGTGAAAATAGGAGTCACTGTCATTTAACTTAAGCCCATTCACTTGTAGAAAGATACTAGTCCAGGACAATGGGGTGAATCTGATGATAAAATCTAGAAAAAGCCAGATCTGTGTTGACATTTTTTTTTTATTGCTATGTGTGTTCCCAATACAACAAACAGCATCAGTAGTGTACACTTTAATAAAAAGAAATTTTTAGCTTAGTAGAAAAGGAAGCTCAGAAGTATAATGAATATGTACATCTTTATGAGAGGTGTATGTGTGTGACCATCTGTATATTCCCTGTGGACAAGACATATGCACACGCAAGTAAACTAGAGAGAATTTCATTCCAGGGAAACTCTTAGGGAAAATAAAAAATGATTTCTATTTAAGGCCAGGGGATTATTTTACTATCTGTCTGGAACTCTCCTTTAAAATTCTTGCACAAAGTAGCAGCGATTCTTTAGAGGTATAGAGTCAATGGCTTCGGCTGTTATTTTACAACAGTTAAAATGCAGAAGTCTTTGCACATTCTGTGCTTTGAGAGGTTAGCATATCTGTATTTTAATTTGCATAATGTGCTTTTAGGCAGTTGATGTACTGACCTCAAAAACATTATGCTGAGAATACATTCCTGAAGTAACTAATTCACTATTTCTTTGAACGGGAATAAGTCATCAGCTCTATATGAACTATTTTAAAAATGCAAAATTTGTACATCAAATTTGTTCAGTTTTAGCTTTTTGCATTGGCTGTGGTAGTTTGCTTAAATTTCTTTTCTATGCACAAAACAAATGCATGCTAATTATCTCTCTAGTTTACGAAATATCATTGATATTAGCGTAAATATTTAGTACATAAAAATACTATCAAGAAAACAAATCAACTTTTAATAAATATCTTCGGTTCTGAATTCTATATACAAGTACTTTACATCTACTCCCTGGAGAGAGCATTTCTGGCTTTGCTGTGAGCAAGGTGATCACTGACATAAATTACTAGTACATTATTGCAGTCAGATGCATTGTGGTTGTGAACATTTGGATATGAACCATGCAGAAAATAAATATCTTAACCATTGACAAATGCTTTCTTGAACCTTCCAAGGCAGTACTATCCTTGAGGATCAATTCAAGTTTGATGGTATTTTCTCAGCTACCAACACACAGATCTTTCCAGAACCTTTTTTCTTTGTGATTAATATAGTACATCAAGTATAACTGTTTGTATACCAACACTAGGAAATTAAACAACATAAGAACACAGGACACCTCAATGGTGCTTAAAGAGGTCCTGGCAAGAGGGTTTTGACTTTATCTTGCTCATTCACTGTTCTCTGTGACCAAAAGTGTACTCTGACACCACTCCTAATTCCTTTTAATTACAGGATGGAAGGCAATAGGTAAAGCAAGACTTACAAGTCTGAAGCTTCTGTTTTTTTCTTTTTCTATAATTTAGATATCACATTATTGATTCAACAAAAGCCATACAACAAAACCTCTTATATTGTCGGTAGCTATGATTCTAACTTCTCAACATTCTGCCTTGAAAGTCAATCTATGGAATGTAAAATAAGGCAATACTCTATGACAGGCACCTAGAACATCCAGAAATGTAAGATAGTAAACAATCATTTGAGAACATCTCTTAAAATAATACTGATTTCTGCAATATACAGTATTTACACAACAGCTGCAAATTTGCTCATACAATATTTCTAATATAGATAAATAGGAATACAAGTCTATGAATTCTCTGCTCCATTTCCAAAATTTCTTGAAGTGTAAACTGTTGGCATCTCTTTTTAAAATGTTTACTGTAACTTTTTAAAACAAAAATCCAGCTGATATGCACCATTGATTCCAGTCCCTTTTCTTCATTAGAGAGTGACCAACACACATAGCAACCTATTTTCCCCGTTAGTAATCTTTGGTGCTTTCTTCCAACGAATTCTGGTGAATGAGTCAATGCAGAACAGGAGGAGGATGAAAGCAACTAGAAAAGTGAACCAGCACTTTTTGTTCTTTCACTTATGGATAAAATGAATTGGCGAGCTATGGAGATTTTCACTAAGTTGTATGCACCATGTGGAGAGGGAAGTTGTCCAGGTTTCCCTCTGATTTCTACCATTAAAATTTCACTTCTTCATCTTTCTAAGGTGGATGATCTTATCAGATGTCTCTTGTTAATAATCTTTTCATCTTTCTTTGAGGTTCTTGCCTGAGAAGAGGCACCTATTGAATCACTGACTGCCAGGAAGGAAGCGGCCGCCCTCTGTGAAGCAGAATGGAGGTGGCCACTCTTGGTGGGTGAGGAGGGCGGTATTGAGACCAGGCTCAATGTCTTACTTCTGGTTTGCTGAGCTCTCCTTTGGGGTAAGTTAGCACCATCAGTTTCACTGTTCAGCCTGAAAGCAGCATATGCATTTGGACTCCCCACTGCAGAGATGCTACTCAAAGACTTTTTCTCAGCAGGAGTCTCTGGATAGTAAGGGATGAAAGGTGTAGGCATCACTAGAGATCCAGGGAGATCACTGGGACTGAAGACTGCATCATCATGAGCTTCAGCAGCTTCTAGTGGTGGCGGGGTACTGCTGCGCTTGCTACATGACTCGCAACAGAGCTTGTTATAACCTGGGATGGAGCAGTATCGTGCCAGCACTTCCATCTGACAGAATATGGACTTGTCTCCCAGACAGGGCTCATCTGCAAAAAGAAAAGAAAAAACAATATGCATCTCTAAACATAAAAGGAGAGACAAAATTAAAATTGTTCATAATTATAAAATCTGACATCAATGGGAGCTGTCACATGAGCCTCTGCATTAAAAATATGAACATTAGGATGAATTTGCTGAAATCGGCAGTCTTATCTACATTATCTACAAAGGATTGGGATCTTCAACTTTTTAAAATCTCTAACAGACCACTGAGGATAGTTTTTTCTTCCAAGTATATCTTAGGATAAAAAGGGGCATCTGTTGTTATGAAAATTTATTAGACTGTATTTCTGGCTTTCTAATAGGGTACCCTCTACATTAAAATCAAACACTAGAGATTTTTTGGAATAAAGTAATTCTTAAGAGAATGTAATACCAAAAGAAAAATGAAAATACCATTTTGATAAAAAGAATATTATCCATCTTGAATGCCATGGTCTTATGTTTGCCATTGAATTTTTTCAGATTCTTATTGGAAAGCACAAATTTGGGTAAAATTTGTCAATTTTCTCATAAGTTTATTCAGTAGGTCAAACAGTGTCTAGTACTAATGAAGAATATTCCATTATAGAAAACTTGGAATGGAACTATCATTTGATCCCACTCTTTGGTCTATACACAAAGGACTTAAAACCAGCAAGCTGTAGTAACACAACCACATCAATGTTTACAGCAGCTCAATTTACAACTGTGGAACCAACCTAGATGCCCTTCAATAGATGAATGGATAAAGAAACTGTGGCATATATACACAATGAAATATTACTCAGCATTAAAAGAGAATAAAATTATGGCATTTGCAGGTAAATGGATGGAGTTGGAGAATATCATGCTAAATGAAGTAAGCCAATCCCCCAAAAATTGAAGGTCAAATGTTCTCTCTGATAAGTGGACACTGATCCATAATGGAGGGGCAAGGGAAAAATGAATGAACTTTGATTGGGCAAAGGGGAGGGAGGGATGGAAAGGGGCATGGGATTAGGAAAGATGGTGGAATGAGATGGACATCATTAACCTAGGAACGTGTATGACTGCACATAGGGTGTGATGCTATATGCTGTACAACCAGAAAAATGAAAAGTTGTGCTACAACTGTGTGTAGTGAATCAAAATGCATTCTGCTATCATATATACCTAATTAAAATAGATAAATAAATTAATGATAATAAAAAATCACAATGTGTTGGGAAATAGCATATTTCTGCTACTTGCCAGAGACACTGAAAAGAAAAAAACAAAAGGCTCCAATTGTGGGATGATGCATGGCCTTGACATTCGCAGACCTAATATATACTATGTGTTTGAATTTTTCATATTATCTGAGGCCATAATCTACGTACAGTGGGAAAGCCTGAGGATTACATTAATTGATTTCACTTAAATATCAATTCCTCATCATTTGTGAATTACTTTTTCCATGCCTGCATCTTAAAATAAGGAAATCTCTTCCAGTATGTTCAAGAGACCTTAATTGAAAGACCTGTATTCTCTTTCCTTTGACAATTAACCCATCTCCTCTGTTTGAAGGCTTACCTTGGAGGTATGACCTGTCCTGTGTTAGAGAAGGACCCCATATGAGAATCCATAAGTACGAGCACCATGGCACTGCAGAGATCCATCAGAGCCAGAATGTGCTCCTTGGGGGAGGAGGTAAAGGGAGGGCTATAAAGGAACACATTAACTTTATGGTAATTTGGGCATAGATGGGAAGGGCTTCAGACCTGGTCACAAAAGGCTATTTTTCTCCTAAGAGTAGCTTAAGACTCTGAGGGGGATTACTACATATTTGGCAGAAACCAGAATTGATCTTTAGGCCAGAGCAAAAGAGCAACTGAAAGAACGGTGGAACCACAAATCTAGTTATGCTATCTCCCTTGCACCTAGGTTTTACAGTAAAGACATTTTCTTCTGTATGAAGGAGAATCAAGCAAAATCTTATTGGCACTTGGACATAGTTCTATCAACTATCGTGACCAATAAAGCTTACAAAGTATGCAGCCTCTTGACAGCAGTAGCTATATAAGGACAAAATATAATGACAGTAAACTGAAAGCTCAAAACCCAAGTCAAAGCAAAGAGCTTTCCCCCTTTCCAAAGTGATAAAATGTTAAGTCCTATGTCTCCCCCTCGTGGTCATACTTGTTCTTGCCATTTGAAGTGAGAAATTTAAAATTCTGTTTAAGGCTTAAAGACATGAAAGTTGAAATTTTTAAAACATAAAATATTCGATAAAATAGGCCTGGCTGCTTTTCTTGGATTGAAAAAAAATAGCACAGCAGATGTTGAGATTCACCTCCGGGCTTCCTTATGGAGTTGTAGGCTGCAGGAAAAGCAACTTGTTTAGAACTGAGACTCACCAGTGTTTCCAAGCAGTGGCTGCCGTTGTTATCGATCAGGCATGGATGCAGGAGAACTGTTCTTAAGAGGAAGGTTGTGGTGCAGGAGGATGAGCAGGGAAGGAGAGAAAGTGCGAGACAGTGAGAAGAGAACAGAACCGCGGAGGGGGTAGGAAGAAAGGAGACCTGGAGTAGAAGAGATGGAGGAGTTGAGAGGAAGAAGGCAGTGTGTCCCTTCAAGGTTCATGTGTTGGAACATGACCCTGAAGGTGGCAGTATGGAAAGGTGGGGCTTTTAGGAGGTGACTAGGTCACAGATATGGAGCTCTTGATGGGATTAATGCCTTTATAAAAGGCTCCAGGGTTCCTCCCCAGCCTCAGGTGAGGACAAAGCACCATCTATGAAGCCCTTACCAGACACAAATGTTCAGGTGCCTTGATACTAGACTTTCCAGTCTCCAGAACTATGAGTTATAAATTTTCTTACTTAGAAATTACCTGGTCTGAGGTATTTTATTATAGTAGCTTTAATGGTCCAAGATGGCAAGGGGGAGACAAGGGAGAGGGAAAGGTGAAGTTAGGGAGACTAGAAGGGAGAGAGAGAATAAGAAGAGGGTTTATGCCCATCCACCCTAAAAAGCATGTATGATGGTAGACAAAGAGAAAGTGAGTGGCACACAGACATTATGTCTGAGACAGAGAGCAAGACAGGCACCAAGAAATCAAGGAGGGAAAGAAACAGTTGTAAACAGAGAAGAAAAGGAGGTGGAAGGAGAGAGTCTCATACAGATGGAAACTATCCAATACATTTTTGTTTTAAAATTGCAAATAAGTTAAATAAAACGAGGTCCGATTTTGCAATACAGTGTTGGTAGATCAGGTAAATGTCTATCTTGAAATCACTCCGTATATTAATGGACAGTTATTGGAAATGGCTATCGGGTTGAGTAACAGTTACTATCTTCATGCTTAAACATTAAATAATGTTAGTAATATATATCAAAACCTGGTTCAATGTTAAATTAACCTTTTTCAATGATGTGAAATTAAAGAACATAATGGAAAATAAGCAGTACCCCCGCATCCTAAATAATTCTTAGACTAATATTTTAAGGATGTTTTCCCTTGGTTATTTCTTGATAAGCAAATATAAATTCTAGAGCTTATCCTGAAAAGAAATTCTGCTCTTTGCGATTCAGAAACGTTATCAGAGCAGTGAAATCAATTAGTATCACACCTACCATTACAGGGAGGCAGCTGACAGGCTCTGACGGACTCCGGCTTTTCACCGTCGCAGTGGTCTCCAGCCTTGCACAGGACCTGCCTCACCTCTGTTCCTTCACCGCAGGTCACTGAACACTACAGAAACAAAGGCTGTAACTATAGAGATTTATTCCACCAAGACTGGACAGGCAAGTGCTCACAGGCACCCACGTGCAGACCCCTCAGCTCTGGAGTTCTTTCTCTACAGAGGTGGTGCTGTGTAGAGACTCTGAAAACAGACAATCCTGGGTTTATACCTTGGCTGCAGCAGTTACCAGCCTGAGCACATTGCTTTTTCTTAAGAGCCTCAGTTTCATCATCTAGAAAGCTGGGCTCAGAGGATCTTTATAGGTCTAAAGGCCAAGGAGGCAGTGTGCCCAAAGCAGAGGCAAAGTGCCTGCATGTAAGCATTCCATAGGGAAGAAGCCCCTGATGATGATGATCACTGATTCTGCTCTTTCCAGAGAGCCAGGCATGGTGTGGAGTGCCCCATTTCATCTTTTACACAGATGGCAGAATTTACTGACAAGCTATCTTGGTCAATTCACCCTCTTAGGAACTACTCTCATGTCATTCCCATGTATTCATTTCTCTAATGAAGGGAAATTTCTGGACTTATTTTCACTTCTCTGAAAATAAGTCCAGAAATTTCCATACTACTGATCTAGATAGAAACTATGGAGGAGAACCTTATAAGGTTTGGGGTCTCGGAGGAGGAACGGGGCATAAGTTATGGTTCTGTGTGGGTGACTTTCATTTTCCTGTTCCTGGTCTCCACTTCTTCCTTGCTCTCTACCTGCTTTTGGACGCCCTTTCCTCCTATAAACTCTCTTCCTATGGCCCCATGAATCCTTCAGTCTTTAGAAATAACAAACACAGGTGGTAGCACAAGCAATACAGCCATGAGTTAGCCAGTCCCCAAACAATCCTACCCCGGGGCACCAACTGGGTCCTGGGGAAGCAAAGCACAATCTTTTTGAGAAATGTGTGGACTACAGGCAAGCACAGACTCAGAGGCAGGAGTCACAATGGACCACATCTAACCACATGCTGAAGGAAAGCTGAAGGATTTTTGAATGCAGAGGAGGTACTGGCAGAAGAGCATCTTCAGGAAGGCAGGAGTCTGGATTGTGGCTTTGAGCCTTGATGAAGAGGGAAAGCAAGCCAGATGGAAGGTAGGAGGCTGGAACAAACAGGGTCTGATTGGAATAGTGAAACATTTACTCAAATGGAGACAGAGATCTGGAATGAAGAGAGAATAAGAGGAGATGGAGTGTTGCCAAATGGAGCAGGGCCCTACATCGTGTGTTAGGGGTTTAGAATTTATCATGTAGGAATAAGGACACCAGCAAAGATCTTAGAAGACCAGTTAGCTTTTAGAAACCTCCAGGTCACAAAACATTCAAATGTAGTTTGCCCCTAACAAGTAAACTGCAAATATTGTTTTAATTTTTTTCCTAGCACCTCCAGGTGATTACAAAATATGCCAGTTTCTCCGTTCACACAAGCCCATCTGATGTTTAAGCCAAAATATGTTGCATATGTTGACGCACACAGAACTCACACACCCACCTCATTCCAGGGCCCTGTTTTCCACTGGGCTGGACAGGGTACTCTATTACAGGGCCGGCGGCTCTCAGGACGGTCACCCACGCAGTACTTGCTGTGTACAGAGCGGTTGGTGCCATCATGGAGTGGCTGAAGGCAGCGCACCGTGCGAAGCTGGTAGCCGGAACTGCCACAGGTTTTGGTGCAGTGTTCCCACTCCTCAGCTATCCAGCTATAGGGGGGTTAAGATTAAACACCGTCACTGGGATGGATGGTATGTGCTTTATTCCCAAAATGCAAAGCCCAGATTTTTCTGCTCCCTGTACAACTGGCAACCTAGCAGGGCACAGTACAGTCAGGAAGTGATGTCAACTCGCTAACAACAGGTCCAGCACTTGCCTTTTTAATCTCCTATTATATTTTTCTGACTCTCAGTGACTCTGAAACTGTTTCCTAAAGAATGATCTACAGAGGGTTCTTGAAACTCATGTTAAGTTTACCCTGTTAAGTTCAAGCATGAAGGTGGTTTTAAAAATAGCACCAAGACATTTTTAGCCATATTGCCTAATGGTTGTGTAATATCTGAAAGTGAAAAGAAAAAAAAAAAAAAGGAATCCACCTAATGCTTGCCAAGAAAATCAACTTAACTGTTCCTGCTTGCATGAAATCCTTTACTCATGTTTCAATATTCCCACTGAAATGATTGTTGTATTTCAACAGTTGTTGCCATGAAGGACTAGTCTATCCTGTTGGGATAATTCAGATCTTCTTATTGAACTTCATGGGGTTTGACAGAAAGGTAAAGGCAGTGTGCAGCCAGGGCTGGGCAGAGACTGCTCCCATGAATGCACCTGACAGAAATGTTTCCAAAGAGACATTCTCAAAAGGATTTCCTGTGGAACATTCCTAAATTATTGTGTCCATGTCAGTGCTCCAAGCAGTATCCAAATCAGTTGTGGTTACAATATACTGGACCGTTCTGTTATATATCATTACTGAGTCCTGAATGTCACTACTAGGTTGTCACTACTGATTTCACCTGGCAATCACAAGTGTGTCCTCTTGGTGACTCTGAAACCTCCTAAATAATGATCCCTTGAGAGCTTCTGAAACACATTTTAAGGTTACCCAATTAAGTTCAGACATAAAGATGGCTTTCAAAAATACACTTCTTATATAATCTTTGTCTTTAAAATAAGTGACTAGTACAATCTTCAAAAATGAGTAGATATTCTCTAGTCTAGTTATTATAATACATTCCACTATCAGTTTGAGAGACTAGGGCAGTCTTAAACTGCCTGGTTATATTTCGCTACTCCATATCTATGGCAAGAAAAAAAAAAAAAGGAAGAGGGAAAATAACTTTGGAAAGAACAAATAAATAGTATGCCTCAATTAACATATTCACTGATAAACCCAATGAAGGGGGGGGACTCAAAGGATGAAAAAGGAAATAATATTTCACATTCCATAAGTGATCAAATATTATATGAAATAATCAAACATCTTGAGAAAGAGATAATTGATGCACAGCTATAATAGCAAATGTCCCAGAAAGAAAGAACATAAACAAAATTTTTCAAAGAAAATCTCCTAGAGATGAAAGACATTGGTTTTATGTCTTCAAAGATCTACAGCTGTCATTTGCAACAGCCTGGAAGAAGCTGGAGGGCCAGTAAAATGCGCCAGGCACACAAAAACTAAGGCTGCATGATCTCACTTATATGTGCAGTCTAAACAAGTAGAACTCACAGAAGTAAAGTCTAGTATGCTGACTAGCAGGGGATGGATGGATGCGGGGTGGGAACAGAAGGAATTGGGAAGACCTTGGTCAAAGGAAACAAAGTTTTAGTTAGCAAGACTACCTAAAGTCTACTGCACCAAATCCTGACTATAGTTAATATAATGTATATTACAAAATTGTTAAGAGCAGATTATAAAATGTTCACACCACTCACACATAAAAAGGATGTAATTTGAAAATAATTAGCATGATTTTATCATTCCGTAACAAAATATACTATACTCCAATAAATATACAAGATCATTATTTGTCAATGAAAAAGTCTACAAGTGCACAGCACAATGAGAGAGAAAAAATCCTATGAGCTTTGAAAGACAAATACAGGCCACAAAGACAGAATTGAGAATCAGGATTACCACTAATTTTTCAAGAGCAACACTGGGGTCCAGCAGATAAGAGAATGATGAGTTCCAGAGAAAATACAGTCTAGAACTATATAAATATGCATGTGACTCCAAGTGATCAAGGGTGAGAGTAGAAGAAAGACATCCTTTATAATCTTATACTTCAACCTCTTATATACTTTTCTAGGGTATCTAAGAATTTAGTTTTTATATAAGACGTTTTACTTTGTATTTGTTTTGTCCCTGAAACTCCAGAAAGAATCTACTAGAATGACTGTATGAACCAAGAGATGAGAAAACAACTAAGGCAGGAAACAGGAGCTCTTGCGGAAGAGAGGGACAGCGGAAATCACCATGATGAAAGCCTGGTGGAAGTCTAGGTGGAAGCAAGACACAGAGTTCATCTGTCTCTATTAAGAGGAAAGTTCCAGTATACTTGAGTGTTTAGCATTTAGAGGGGATTGATATTTAAGGAAGAGAGTTTAAGCATGGATTCATGAAAAGTAGTAGAAAACCAAATATAAGAATCAAGATCTTCATTTACTCTGGATTAAACAGTTACACAAGAAAGGAAACAATTAGTATGCTACGTGACCTGGTAGAAGAGAGGGGTGTTAAAGGAATCTAAGCTCTGGATATTAATCTCATTAAAAGATATGTCAACATTGGAAGTACTGAGGAAGGAGTAAGTGTGGTAAAAAAAAATTAAATCCTCATATTCCATAGTAGAAATTCAATACATAATATGGAACCCTGCCCCCTCCAAAGGCAAGTGATGGAAACAAAAATATTCTTCTTAAAGAGATTGAAACAAGTAATTACCAAATAGCAAAAGAAACATAAAGCCTGAAAGTGGTTATGTTTTAAGAACAAGGATATAAAGAAAGGTAGGGAACCACAGCTTTATAAACAATTCCTGTTAAATGACTCGATTATTTAAACCAGGTACATATAAAGTTTTGATTAAAAACAAATTTAAAATTAAAAAGTGATAAAGACATTTAAGCCCTTATTTTGACCTCAGGATATGATGGTCAAAGTAAATACTTACAGCGGATGTGTACACTCTTGAATATTACACATTCGTCTAATAGGTTTTGGCTTTTTATTGACCTCACAGAAGCTACGATGAACCATCTTATTATCGCTTTTCCTACGGCATCCGTATTTAGTGTACTGGAAACCTGGAAAAGAAAATAAGCTTCTTTGACTTTAATCATGTATTCATGCAATTATATATTAATTCATTTGTACATTTACCATTTAATAAATATCGGAGTGCGTACAGTAAGGCACTGCACTAGGTGTTAGTGATTCTATCACTTTCACTTAAAATAAACTTTAAGTGAAAAATGCTTATTTCAGAGCCTACATTTAATAAGTATGATGAATTATGAAATAGTGACTATGCACTGGCTAGAGAACTAAGATTGAATAAGCACAGTCTAGACCTCTATGAAAAGCATTTCCATCATCAACGCCTAGTAGTACAGGCTTTTATGGAGCTATGTGCGTAACTTTCTGCAGGGGGCGCCAAAAGGACACGGAGGGAAAGGCCTCCAGTTCAGCTGGAGGAGGGGCAGGGGAAGCATGCAAGCTCAGCACTTTTTTGTGCTTAATCTTGATCTTCCAATTGTGTGGGGTGAAAGGAAATGAAGCACAAATAGAAAAGCAGGTGCTTCACAGGGCTGACATGTCATGTCTGAAGAGGAAGGAGTTGAGGAAGGATTAGAACTTGGATGCCTTGAGCACCAAACAAATGTATGGAATTTATCCTGAAAATCATAGAGAATAAATGATGGAGGTCTCCATTTGTTTAAAAAAAAAAACAAAACATGAAATTTTCAGAACTTTTAAACTTACAAAAAACGATGTGAAATCTGTATGCTTTGCATCTAGATTAATATTTTGTTACCATGTCATCACATTTTCCATATATCACTATACAGAATTTACTGTATAGGTAATTTTTTTCCTGTACTATTTGAGAATAGGTTAAAGACATTTTGATTAGTCACTCCTAAATGTCAGGTCACATTTTGTTACAAGGACATTCTCTTCCATATCGACAATATAATTTTTAAAAATCAGAAAATTCAACACATAATTATCTAATATGCAGACCATATTGAAAACCTGTCAATTGTCCTTATAATGTTCTTTACAGTGATGTCTTTTCTCGTCAAGGAAACTGACATGTCTTTTTAACCTCCATCAATCAGAAATAGTTTCTGAATCCCTTTTTGTTTTTCATGGCATCTAATATTTTTGAAATGTGTAAGACAAGAGTTTTGAGAAATGTCCCACAATTTGGGTTTTATTGTCTCTCAATGATGAGATTCAGGTTATTCATTTTTGGAAAGGGTTACTTAAATGATGTATCTTCAGGGCAACATGAGAAGACTGTAGGATTTTAGGCAGGAAAATAATATAGTTCCACTCATTCATTTAAGAAAATTTCCCTTGAAATAAAAGAAGAGAAGAAAATCAAAGTCAGATACTAGTTAAAAGGCCACTGCATCAATCTTCCCTTCCAAAACTGTGACGGAAGCCTGGAGAGGAAGAACAGATCTGGCCTGGTAAGAAGGGTAATGTTGAGTGTACAGCAAAAGGGAGGATGGAAATTAAATAAGCATCTATACAGTGTAAATGTTTACTCATCCTTAATGAGTAACTAAAAACATTTAATGCCTCCCTCCAGAAACACTTTGGAAATACATTCTTGAATTTTCAATTATAATTCAAAAACAATTTTCAATTATAATTCAAATATAATTTTCAATTATAAAATAAAAGATTTGCACAAGAATTCCCTGTTTTGAACAAATTGTCTTTATGCTCAATTATTCACTGCTATTTTTGTGACAATCCCTCACCTTCTCCTGCTTGTTGAGGAGAATTTTGTCTAGGCCAACTCAATCCTCAAGCCTTTGTTGTTCAGAATGAGAGGAATGGATGAAGGGAGAAAATGATAAACACTGAGCATAGCTTCAGCTTCATGGATTTACTCTGGGGAAGCAGAGAGGCAGCAGGGTGTAGTGAGGAAGAGTATGTACCAGAAGCCAGGGTAGCTGGGTTTGAATCCTATGACCTTGGACAAATTACTTATCTTCCCTGGTCTGCAGTTTCACCATCAGTGTAATAGAAACAATAAACAGCACCAATCTCATAGGGTCATTGCAAGTATTCATGCATTGATACTAAAAACATTCAGAAGATCAGCTGGTTCCAAATACACAGCATAATCAGTTGTGTCATCATAGTTAACTAATAGCTCTTTAATGCATAAATACAGAAATTTAAAGTAGAGGGAAAGGCAATAACCTGAGTACACTGAGTTTGGGGGAGTTCTGGAGTTTCAGAAAAGTAGAGTGATTAAGAGTTCCACTACAGGGGACATAAGCCATAATGATCTAGACAGATGAGCAAGTAGCTTTTAAGGTTCTACTACTGGTGGATGGAATCCTCTGCTGATTGTGAGATTTTTAGGAATAATGTTTTGTACTTACGTTTTGGATGTTATATTAGTTGTTTCTCAGATTGCAGCCTCAATTAGAGAAAAGCCTCAAAGTAGAAGCAGGATTGACTTTTGTGTGAATTGCATTTTAATATAAGGAATGTGTTCAAATGTTACCTCCACCACAGAGTTTGGAACACTGAGACCAACTCTTCAGAGCCCACTCAAAAGTATCCAGTTCTTCCTGGATGACGTTGTTGCTGTTGATTGTAGGTACAGAGTCCTCATGGATGATATACTTATATGTCAGGCTAGAGCGGGTATCATTCTCCTGAGGTATAATCTAAGACACATGTGAAATGCATATGTAAATCATCTGAGAGTTAAGCCTTGAGTGAAAATTTACAAATATTTCAGAATATTATTCTTACTAAAACTGGAAAACTTTCTAATAGCTTCTTAAATATGTTTTTATTTCTGTCAATTCAACTGCAAATGTGCACTATTTTAGAAAAAAAATGCACATGTGTAAGACTGAACATAATAATATTAAAAATGCATACACTCAGGAGTAAGAGTTCTATTATAAAAATAACTGCATAAAATTAACTATAGGTTTTCTTAAAGAATACCATTTCCTTAGTACATTTTAAAGTTTATAACTGTTTTGTTATAATGATAAAGATAATAATGTTCTCTCCAGAAAACAAATGCATTATGGAGAAATATAAAGAAAACAAAAATCAGTCATAATTCTATAGACCCAAACATAATCAAAGTTACGGATATTTCCTCAAGGTGATTCCAATGTGTGTGTGTGAGTATAGACATAAGTACTTTTCCTGGCTCTGCTTATTTTACTTAATATGTTATGTGTATTTTCCAAGACAGTAGATATTTTCAGAAAACATGGTTTGAAATGTCAGCTTAGCTTTTAATCCTAAAAGCATATATTATTTAACTATTCACTTACTAATGAATATTTATATTGATTAGAAATAGTCCCCACCTTTATGGGGATTTCTGTTGTTGTTTTTTACATACATTCTTCATAGTTCTTTTGAGACTGGTGGGTGGCCTTCCAGAAGAGTTAGAACAACTGTTACTTCCATGGTACAGTACATGAAAATGCCCTCATTCAGAATTATGTATAATCTTCAACTTAATAAATTTGATGGGGGAAAAAGACCATTTAATTATTTATTTGACATTCAGTGGAGTTTAACCTCCTAAGTTTATGACTCCCTTGTATTTTGTCTACTGTGTACTGCGTGATCATCAGTTTTCTTTTTATTGTTACATGTAGCTTTTTCTTTTCTGAACAATCTATGCACTAGAAGTATTAATCTTTTTTTGTAATAAGAATCACAAACATTTTCTCAGTTTGTTATTTGCCCTTTATTTTTTTTTAGGGCAAAACAGTCATTTTTAGAAAGAAAAATATGTTTTAATTGATTTTCATTGTATCTTTTATAGGGTTATACCAAGTATACAGAGGGATAAATAGGTGGGATTTTAAACTGAACTCTTAAAAAACAGCTTTTGTCTCAGAAACCAATAAACCCACTGGGGTGTAGGTTCTGGTTACCTGGGTTCCATTTTCCTTTTTCCTTAGTCTTTGGTTTGAAACAGCATTAAAAGTCAAATCCCAACTCTCACACCGTGGCCAGATATCTTTTTTTTTCCCTCGGTGCTGGTGCTGAGGATTGAACCTAGGGCCTTGTGCATGTGAGACAAGTACTATACTTTAAAAACAAAATTATTTTTTTAAAGCTTTGACAGCCATGCTCCAGAGCTCCAAGCTGGGCCTTCCAGTTCTCTAGAGAGGACTAGGTCATGCTGATAGAGCACAAGTTATCCACAATCCCACTTCTGGCTACAAATCTTGTTCCTGTGGCACAGCTTACCACCCCCCTGTGGCCACATGGTGATCAGTGGATAGAGCCCTGAGGCATTCTGAATGGTAGTATGGATCAGGGCTCCATGTTGCTGAAAAGGAGTGTAATTTTATAACAGCAAAATAGAGCTTCTGGTCTCCAATCAATCATTTGAGCTTTAAATAATGTAAATGAAATCTCGATTAGTTTTTATTTTTACTATGCAATTATCTAAGCTATGAAATAGAATGATGGTCCAGAAATAATTTCATATAGAGTTGGCCAATTAATATTTGACATAAATGAAAAGTAAATTGAATAGCAAAAAGGTAGTCTTTTTACCAAATTGGACTTCTATTGGCTCTAAAAATATGTCCAAGATTATGTTGGAAATGACTTCCATATTGGTTGCACATCTCACTTTTTCTGTCATGCGCATTATTTGCCTCAGCAGAAGCCAGCACCATGTTATAGGGACACTTAAGCAGCCTATAGAGAAGCTGGGTTGGAAAGGAAAGGAGGTCTGCTAGCCACCACATAGAAAAGCTTGGGAACAATCTTCTGAGGCCTTTCAAGGACCATGTGGCTGAGCTTGGAGGCACTGTCAATCTATCAACCCTTGAGGTGATGTAGTCACAGCTAACAACAACTTCATGAGATTCTCTGGGTCAGGACTTGTCAGGTAAGCTGCTTTCAGATACACAAGCTTCGTAAACTATGGGACAAATGTTGCTTGTATTTAGCAACTATGTTTGGGGTAGTTTGTTTTGCAATGATAGACAAATTATATTTGTATTAATATGCAAAAATAAGAACATAGAAATTCATACAAAATTAACTCAAAATGCTTCATAAACCTAAATGCTAAATGTAATACCATAAACTATAAAATTTCACAAGAACAAAAGTAGGAGAAATTGTTTTGAGGCTGTATTAGGCAAAAAATCCTTCTATTGCACCAAAAATCAAGGCCTAAAAGAAAAAAAAAAAGAACAACAGTAATAAATTGGACTTTCGTAAAATGCTAAAATACCAAGAAACTACTAAGAAGGAGCAATGGACTGGAAGAAGATATTTACAAATCATATATTTCACAGTGGACTTGCTGAGTATAAAGAACTCCCGAAAGTCAAAGAGGGAAATAATTCTGAAAGGGAAAGAATTCCCAAAGGAAAAAAGACTTATAATGGAGTAGGAAAATTTGATTTTAGTTAGTATAATTTTTTAAAACATGGAATCCAATCAGTGTTTGTATTCAGACTCCAAACAATGCATTTCAAATCAAATAGGTGTTTTCTACATTCATTCATGAGAGAGTAATAAAGTTGCTTTCCTAATATTAAAACCTATAAAACTGCACAGAAAATAGAAGGAAACTTTTTTTTTTTTTTGGCTGATAGATAACAATGGCAAAGGACAACAATCCCTGTGAGGAGAGAAATAAGCCTAGTCTTGCTTCCTGACAGGGGCCAAGTCTGCACCTCTGCACAGGGATGAGGAGTCACACTTTATAACTCCAGGGAAGGGCCTGAAGAAGGGTGGCCCCAGGGAGGGGTTGTCTAGAAGCTGCTCAGGTCCTTAACTAAGGGCTGATCTGTACATGCTCAAGGCCAAATGCCATGTGCTCTATCAGTGAGTGGGAGTGGAACAAAGAACCAGAGGTCAGACAGGGAGGAGAGTCCCAGCAGCTCAAAGGGGCCTTACCAATACCTGAGGTATTCAGTTAAGGTCCCCCCACAAAGAAAGGACTAAACTGAAATAGACCAGTCCTAATGAAAAATACAACCAGATCTCAAAGGATTAGGAGGATGATCTTGCGAAGATCTAACTGCCTACTGAACAAAGTGAAACAACCAAACACTTGACAATTTATCATCCATCATGTCCAGTGAAAAATGAAAGACAAATTATAAGAAGCAGGAAAATGTGATTCATAATCAACAAGAAAAAAAAATCAGCCTAGAAAAACAGACAACATGAATATCCAGAACTTAAAGGATATGTTAGTCATAAAGAGCCAATATATATCAGCAGAGAAATGGGGGAAAAGAAAAAGAGCAAGAGAGAACAAATCCTGGGAAAGGAATGTACTGATGTTAAACTGACATTAAAAATTCACCAGATAGGCTCAAGGGCAGATTGGCAGTCACATAAGAAATAGTGAATTTATATAGATAGATAGATAGATAGATAGATAGATAGATAGATAGATAGATAGATAGATAGATAGATAGATCTCAACACATTATCCAATCTGAAAAAATATTTAGGAAAGATGATATAAGAACCAATGGGGCTTTAGACTTTTGGAACAATTTCAATATATTTAACATGCATGTGAGTAAGTCCCATGAGTAGAAAAGAGAAAGATGGTGTGGGGGCAACTGACTTGAAGATATAATGGAAAATTTAGCCAGATTTGGTGAAAACCCACAAAGATGAGATTCTCAGTGAACTCCAAGAATGTTACAAAGAACACCACAAACTATGTATATCTTACTCAAACTGCTATACAGAAAAAGAAAACAAAGAGTCTTAGAGACTTAGAGCCTACCTGCTTGGCACCCAATACTTTCTAGGCATAAGTAAGGTGTAAATGGCTATAAGAATCCCACTGGTGCTGTTCCTAGGAGCTCTGTGACCCACAGACTCCCAACAATGCTGCTCAGTGACATCTCTGAGAGAGGTAGACACCCTGTGTTCTCCTCCTGTCATAGGTTAGATAGGTGGTGTCCCCCAAAAGCTCATGTGTGAGATTATGCAAGAAGTTTTAGAGGTGAAATGATTAGATTATGAGAGTTGTAACCTACTCAGTAGATTAATCTATTGACATGGATTAATTGGGCAGTAACCGTAGGCAGGTAGGGTGCGACTAGACACAGAAAATAGCTTTATATTTTGTCCTTGGTGAACAGAAGAGCTCTTTCTCTGCTTGTGGATGACATGTCTTGAGCTGCTTTCTTCTGCCATAAAATTCTGCCTCACCTTGGACTCAGAGCTATGGAGTCAGCCCACTCCATGGACTGAACCCCTGAAACCTGGTGCCAAAATACACTTTTCCTCCTTTAAGTGTTCTTGTTGGGTCTTTTGTTCACAGTGGTGCAAAGCTGACTGAAATGCCTCCTTTCCTTCTTCCCCCTAAGTTCTGTGGTCCTTTTCTTCTTTGGGTGGTATTCCTACTTGCAAATCTGCTATAGCCTCACCGAAATAAAGCTTTCAGGAGCTAATGCTGCCTGTGGCCATATCTTGTTCTTTGATTAGCTACCAAATCCCTCGAACTCCCTATAAGAACATAAAGATATCTTTAAAATGTTTAAAGAAAAAAATTGAAAAAATCAGCAACCCCAAATTATTTATCTAGTGAAGAAAATAGCCTTTAAAAATGAGGGTGAAATAATATTTTCATATAATTGAAAGCTGAAAGAATTTTTTGCTAGTACACCCACACTATGAGAAATGCTACAAGAAGTTCTCTGAACTGAAGGTAAATGATACCAGATGGAAAGTTAAGATTGACAAGGAAGGAAAGAGTATCAGAAATGGTAAATTTTTGGTTAAATATAAAAATCTACCTTTCTATTTGTTGTCTTTAAAAGACAACTGGTTAAGTCAAAATCATAATAATGTATGATACAATTTTTAATGTATGTAAATGATAATGTTATACAAAGAGTGGAGGTGGAGGGAAAGAACTTATAACAAACAGCAAATAAATATTTTTCCAAGGTAAAATTGTTTTCAGATAAATTAATTATAAAATTATAAACTAAATCAATTACATAATAACCTGTAATGACACATACCAAAACAATAACGGGATCATGTAAGGGTCCATCAGTGTGAAGAGTTTCAATGTCATCTTCGATGTTATAATCCCACTCCACACCAAGATCTATGAAGGTTCGTGACTTGGCTTCCTCCCCTTTGCCATTTAAAATGTAGTGGCCTGTAGCCTGATTCTTAATTGCTAAGGAAAGGAAAATGAGTAACTGGCATATACATTATTGTGTACAGTTTTGAAGATCCATATTAAGTCTACCCCATTCTATAAACTAGTGACTATGTTCCTTCATCAGTATTAAGCAATCAATGAGTGTTAGTTCTAATATCATTCCCATTTCCTTCGTTAGGCATCCAAAACTCTAAAGAAGCATTCCTAATAGTCAAAAACAGTAGCAAGATGGTAAAAGAGGCAAAATAATGTTTGCAAATATTCCCATTTGAAAACATTGTCAAAGAGGTTAAGGTTTCTCAACTTAGTTATTCCAAACATTTCTTCAGAAAGCCCAGAACATTTTGAAAATAATGGATACTTCTCTAATAATTAATATAAACCATTTATGTTAGTATACCATAGAACTTGATGATTTCTTTACAGTGTATCTCTTCAGAATTGGTAACAATATTTATAGCTACCTAACACATTTGAAAGGATTTAGGACAATAATTTAAGTTTTGATGAATGCAAAATTCCAAGGCCTTATCACTACTTAGAGTTGGAAAAAGCTACTTGCTGTTGATAGAATTCTTAATGTATTATAGATCTATATATTATCAAATAAAGTGGTTCTCCAGTGAGTAAAAATAAATCATGTTTTAACTTTAGGGGATACATATCAGCATACAATGATAACTTAAAAACAAAAGTTCATAAATTACTATTACCAATGTGTAGAAAAAATAAGTAATCTTAATTAAATCCATTTATTCCTCTTGAGCTTTTACACTAGTCCAATTTTCCTAAGGATAATAATTTGAATTCCAATTAAAGAGTTTTATACACTAGGGAAAGAAGAACTATGGCTGACTGCTAGGAGGTTATGGCATCTAGTAGCAACTATAATATAAATATTTTTAAAAACTCAATTCTACGCAGCACCATAAAAATTCATTACTTTTAAGGCACGTATGAAAATTTACTACAAATTTTCATGCAGTTGACAATGTTGCCTTAGTTTTAGAAATCTTTGTGCTTTAATAGGCCAAGGAATATAATTATTGTTTATATTTGTATACACACTATAAAAACAAACTCTTTTAAAATGATTTTTCTACACAATCCTCTCAAAAAAGGCAAATAATCTTCTTTGAGCCATTATAATCATCCACACAAATAGATCTATATGTACTAAAAACATGTGACACATGTCAGACATTAGGAAAATTTAACATAAGACTAGCAGAATTCACTGATGGTTTCTTCAAACATCTTAAAATGTAATGAAAATATGGGGTTACATGCAATATGACATCAGCCAAAACATCAGAACTCATTTGTCCACGTAAATGTGATGAATTGTTCTGATATTATTCCTCCATTTAGTACATTATATTATGTATTTTTTCACACCCCTTAATAAAGAGAAAAATTGCATAGTAAGTACAAATTTGTCAAGTTTTTTCCCCTCACATAATTATGAAACACTCTCATTTTCTATAAAAAAATTAAAGTTTTATTTTGACATATTTCTTGTTTTAAAGTGAGAATGGTTGAGAGAAATGACAAGCCCCTACACAAGATTAAATTAATTCATATACATGTAATTTGGATTCTGGCATATTTATGTATATACATACATATACATGCACATATATATGCACCTATATATGTGATTTCTTTGACATTTCAAGGTTTAAGTGCATATTTAACGCAGCTCCAGAAGATAGAAAAGCTTACTTACCAAGAATATGAGGAGAAGCCTCGTCTTCTTGGATTAACATATGTCTAGCCCCAGGGGGTATATCAAACATCTTAAGGTACCCTTTGCATGTATGGTAAATAATGGAGAAAGCAAAGAAAACAAAAGCAATAACCATGGTTAGTTGAGCACTACATTCTTACTGCTCCTGCATGCAGAAGAGGGCATCCATAAACTGAAAGAAGCAGTTTCAGAAATTAACTTCGAAGCATTGGTAGCTTTTGTGACATCCTGCATGAGATTAGAGAAATTTTTTGTTTTTACATTAAAGGAGGAGGAAAAAGTTAATCTTGTTACCAACTTATTAGTCATTTATGCTTGTGTTGAACTATAAATTGTGTCAACAATAATTCAGGCAAATACTATACTTTCATGTGTGCTCTATGGGATTCTAGTTTCCTAAATCACCCTTTTAAAGTGGGGCCAATTTTTAGTGGAAGTTTTTAGATAGTGAACTTCTTCAGATATTTTATCTGTCTCCGTATTATTTAAAAAACCCAAATGGCAAATATAAATAGCTAAATTTTCAATTATGGAAATGTTTCCATATTCAAGAGCCTACTTTATTCCAAAAAAATTATAAAAGAAAAATTGGTGAGTAGCTTTTATTTTTCTTGTGGTTAGTAGTTAATTATAAAGCTTACCACATTTTATGATTGACTGTTTTAAAATATGTGCTGTAAAATCTGACAAAACCATTTAATTAAAAAATGTTTGCAAGTTATGTCATGAATTACCTTTACATGCCCCCTAACTCGATCTTTTAAGCCAGAAATAAAATCAATTGGTTGTTTGAGCTTAAATTAGGCAGCATTGCTATTACTGCCAATGTCATATATGACAAATAATATTATTACAACCTGAAAATTATTGTAAGACAACTGAAGATTCATATATTTAACTATAAATCATCAATAGTCAGGAGAAATGGACCAAGGTGTATCTATTTCCATAAAAAATAAATGAATATAGGAAGATTATGTAACCTACCCCTTTAGTAGGTTGTTAAACATCTCATTCATATAATACAGGATGAGTTTTGACGGCAATTTAATTATCAATACACAATTGTTGAAGTTATCAGGAAAGAAAAACATTTTTGTCATTTGCCAATGTATCATTGATACTATAGGTACATTTATTTAACTGTTTTCCAATATTTATTAGTGTATTAGGTAAATGAAGTGGTCATTTTGGGGATTAGCATTTTCAGCACCTTAGCTACAACTGTAAAGTCTAACACATGAAAGGTACCATGTTTGTCTGAGAATGCAATGGCTATAAGTAACATGCTTAAGATGCTAGCTACAGCAAAACAGCTTGATGCCATTTATGAATGCCCATCTTTCTGCAGTTTGGTACAACTTACCCAGTACATTTTTAGCTTCTCTTGTTTCAGCAAGAGAAATATTACGAGCTCCTCTGGGTAAGGTGAAAGCGCCTCTTGTCTTCCCTTAAATAAAATGTCTTTAATTAGTGGAGGTTTCATGTTTATCGAAGTCTTGCTGTTTCATTGACTATGCCATAAGCTTTCTCTCCATATATTTCATGAGATATAAAATATGTTCTATGATTTTATATGTTGAAATTAAAATGCATTTTTAATAGTTAGCTAATGCCAATAAACTGTTAATAGTCAATGAACATAAGACTAAGCATGAATGAAAAATGATGTAGGTGATTTGAAGTTGAATACTTGCAGATTTCATTTTCCAGCAACTTGAATTCTTTATGGCATCTCTTGCTTAAATGTTTCCCTGTTGGAAAAGGTTAATTAGTCTATTGAATGACTACGATGACAACATTTGTACACAGAAATGGGTGTTAGATTATCTTTGAACAGTTTGAATCTGTATGACTGATGAACACTTTCTCGTGTTCTTTTGATGTTAATTCACAGGTTTAGCACAGTTTTTGCAGTATCTGAAAACAGTATCACTACCTTATAATTGCATATAAAATAGAATGAATGACAGTGGAAAAACTTTTTCCTTATATTAATTCACTCTGAAAGCAAAACAAATTAATTATTTTACATCTAAAACAAAATAATAACATATAACTCCAACAAAACAAATGCAGTTCATTATTTCATAGCAATATGGAGAAAATTAAACTTGGTTTCATCTAAACATGTGTGTATATAAATGTGTGAACACACACACATATACACACTTATATACTTACATTTTAAATTATTTTTGCTTTATTAAAATAATACCATCAGCCAGAAATGACAGTATTTGTCTTTTAACAATTTCAAAGTACAAACCATGGTAATTTATCACATAAGTATAGCAAAGATACCAATAACTAGACTAGAGAACATCTAAGAGAAGTACACTTGAATATGTAGCAAAGCTAATGTGCGTGGAAATGGCTTGAGTTGGGTGTCTAAGGTATAAGAGGAGCAAAAAGGACTATGAGAATTTTTCATTTGGATGATGACTATTTTATACTTTCTTTTCTTCTACAAAATGAAAAATTACCACCATGACAATGAACTTAGAATCAACCCAATTCTTTCTGATTGTTTTTGTTTTGTGTTCTATTGTTCTGTAAGATACTGAACTGAAAGTGCTTTGGAAGATACCAGAGAATCTTTTCAAGAAAATACCATATGGAATTCATCTTTAAATGTTGAATTCCCAGAAGCCTTTGCCAAATAAATACTTAATGAATAATTGAATATTTGTTACAAAGTAAGAAATTATTTAATAATAAATATTTTTATAAGAATTTGTATCAAATCTTATATTCTGATGAACATTATGAAATTACAAATATTTTTCCATATTATTTGTTGCATATAGACAGCTTTTTGTTCCACCTTTTGAACTTGCAGTGTGTATCTAACTCCAAGTTATTGATGGTGGAACAAGCCCAAAAGTTCACAAATATGAGCAGTTATATGTCTGCTTATTTTTTGGTGGGATCTCAATTTTGTTTAGAGTAAACATTTTTAAAGCATATGAAATATAGACCCTAAATTCATAGGTTCACAAGTAGGATAAAATTGTTCACTTTTAAAATAAAAAGAAGTTAAAAGAAAATAACATTTTAAAGGTTATATTTAAAGTTTTATAAAAATTTTTCCTCACTCTGGGTCAACAACTTTAAGTGCAACAGAAATTTGAAATAACCATTCATTTTGATTTCATCTGCGTTTTTTAAAAAATGTAAAATACCACAATTTTTAGATAACTATTATAATTGATATTGACTTTGTTCCTTGTCCAAATTTAGTCTATAATTTCTCATAAATACAAAGGAGCATGAATTTAGTAATTTTTTTTAAAAAAAATTTAAAATAGTTCCTTAAAATGTAATTTGAATAAAGCACTTTTGATTCATGTTTACTGCACTCCTAAAAGAGGAAGCCTAAAAAGCACAGGTCATAGGGAAGGATAGAGATTCACAAAGGCCCTCATCTTACCGAGCTTCCTGGGAGTTCTGGTAAATGTCCCCTTCACAGTTCGACAATGGGAATTATCTCCTCCACAGACACCACATTTATCCTCAACCTTGTTGGAACCAATCTCTTTATCACAGCCCACTTTCTGGGAAGAGAAGATATTAAATGTAGTTGATTTCAATGTCGTCAAGTAGAAAACAACATCCAGAGAATGGTGGATCATTTGTTAATCACAGATCACAGCAAGTTCACACCAAACTTCCCCTTAAGTCTTATTTTTCACACCTCAGTCTTTTAAAGAACTAGTGTGAAGTTAAATAACTGTACTCTAGTAAATAAAGGACAAGTTTCCCCAATTCCACTGAAGTATTTATAAATTGTCCTAATCATCAAATGAGTATTTATTGAGCACAGATGTAGCTGGATGCTAGGGAGACCGAAGAAAAATAGCATTGGATTTTTCCATATTGTATTCATATGTATAAAATGAATATAAAGTGAGTTGTATGTTGGTGCCATCTTTTAAAGTTAATTAGGAAAAGAAAAGAAAAGGTAATTAAGATGTAAGACAAAATTTCATTAAAGTAGCGGAGACTTCCTTAGGACCCTTTAAGGAATATAGTGTAAAAGAATTTCAGGAGTGCAGAGGGGTCAAAACAAAGCTGGGGTAAAGATAAGTTCATGGACAGTAGTTCAGATATCAATATTTAAAGCCATACTTAAGGCAGTGGAAGGCTAGTGTTGCCTCATAGCAGAAGAACAGTGAAAGATTCGCAGAGCACATGCTATGGAAAATCTTGAACATATATATAGTTTTCATCTTCACATTAATAGAAAACCACTGAAGGTTTTCTGGACTGGGGAAGATCCTTAAATGAACTGGTTGTAGGACAATGCTATACATATATTCTGTATTCATACATTCAGCATGAAAATGGGCAGGAAAAACGACAACATAGTTAATGCATTAGATATTGTGGAAGGTAAAAGGTGAATAAGACACATATTCTATGGTCTGTATGTGTACTCTCAATAATTATGTGTTGCAAACTTAAATCTCTAATATGGCAGATTGGGGAGGCTTGGCCTAATAAGATGTAATTAGGTCCTGATAGCTCTGCCTTCCTAGACAAATTAATGTTACTAACATGTGAATGGTCAATTATTATGACAGTGATAAAGGTGACTTCCTTTTGTTCTCTTTGGTGCATGTGCCCTTTTTCCCTTCCACCTCTGCCATGGAATGATGCCCCATGGAGTCTCTCAACAGATGCCAAGCCAGTGCTAGCATTATGCTGCTGGTCTTCCCAGTTAACAGAAACATGAGAGAAACAAATGTTTTCTTTATAAATTATCCCAAATGGGGTATTTTGTTATAGAAGCACAGAATGGACTAAGACATTTACTTTCAAGGACAGTTTAGTTTAACTATGAGGCATCTGCACACTGGAGACTCGTTAATAAATACTTTGGTTTTACTGAAGTAATAAGGAAATGGATGTTAGAAGCAGTGTTTCAGTTGACAAGGATAATTTCATGTTAATTTAACTGAGCACCTGAACATTTTTTTAAAAGAGATTAAACTGGGCTTGGTGGCACACTCCTGTAATCCCAGCACTTTGGGAGGCTGAGGCAGGAGGATTGCAAGATTGAAGCCACCATTGGCAATTTAGTGAGATTTTGTCTCAAAATAAAATAAGGGATGGGGATCTAGCTCAGTGGTAAAGTACCTACAATTTCAATCCCAAATACCTCAAAAAGAGAGATAAAGAGAGATTAAATGGAATAAAAATAGTTTTGTTTTTTGTTTGTTTCTCTACATTTTGTTCTCATGTGGAATTCAATGTTTAAGCTTCAGATCAATTAGAAAGTGAAAGAGAGAGAAAGAAATATTGTATTATCTTTTGTTTCTTTTTTTCTTTTCTTTTCTTTTCTTTTTTTTTTTGATAATGGAGATTGAACCCAGGGGTGCTTATCCAGAGAGAAACATCCCCAGCCCTTTTTATTTTTTATTTTGAGAGAGGGTCTCACTAAATTGCTTAGGGCCTTGCTAAGTTGCTGAGGCTGGCCTTGAACTTGTAATTCTCCTGCCTCAGCCTGCTGAGTCACTGAGATTACAAGTGTGTGCCACCATGCCCAGCTGTATTATCTTTTAAACAAATAATAAAAAATAAACTTAATATTGGATTTAAAAAAAAATCTTGGATATTAATGTCAGAAGCTCCTAGTAAAATACTTAAAGCAAATACATTGTTCCCTCTTGTATTCTCAGCCTAGAGGCATTCATTATTTAGAAAAGGCACTTGGCTGAAAATTAGAAAAATTATTTAACTCTTAATTCTACCAGTGACCAAGGATTGATTTCAGTAGGTATAATTTCTCCCCGAATTATTTATGTACTGAACTTTAAACAGGCTAACTTCCCAGATAAGTATCAGCTGAAAACAGTGGATATGCTTATGAATAACATTACTGTTACATAGAATCACATGGTACCATAGGAAGCTTTTGAGAAAGCAAGCGCAACTCACCACACACTCTCCTCGCACGCATATGCTGTATGGGTCCTTGTAAGAACAGCGAGTTCCGTCGTGTACCAGCTGTTTCATGTAAGCAACATCTCCAGTCTCTCTAGACTGACAGTAAAGGTGGCATCTTTTCTTGGCTGCATAAGGAGGGGGGATAAAATTAACTATTTACATAAAACAGAATGTGTGAAGAGTATAGTTTATTTTTAAAATATCAAGTTTCAATACGGGTTCCTGAAAACAAAACAAGTACTATATAAATACATAAAATACGGAGCAGGAGAAAAGTACAAATGTGCCAATATGCATATTTGGCATATTTGTTTTAGTATGATTTATGATTTGTCTGAGCATGAAAGGGGACTCCACTAATATTTGAGCAGGTATACACTGAGACTGGCCCAGGCAAACCAGGCTGAATAGCAATCCTAGATTTCAACACAGATCTTCAATAAACTTTAATTCAAATTTTGTTTAAGCAATGTTCAGATCTCTGAAAGGGTTTCCTTTTAGTCTGACCCAATCAGTTAATATAGTTTCTGCCTCTTGTGGAATCTCATCAATTAAACATAATTTATGTGACTAACTTCATCAAAATAAATAAAAATAATACATCTGTTCTAAATGCATCACAACTTTCAATTCCTATATGCATTCACCTTTCTTTTGAAAGAGTTCTAAACTGAATCCAGTAGTGCATCATGTCACATGATAAGCATCTTTTTTTTAAATCACTGAAATAAGAAATATATTTAGTCAATAATTCAAGTGTAATTAGAATAGTTTTAAATAACTAGTTTTTAAAATATCTTTATTTTATTTTATTTTTATGTGGTGCTAAGGATCGTGCCCCATGCATGCTAGGCGAGCATTCTACAACTGGGCCACAACCCCAGCCCCTTAAATAACTGGTTTATAGTATAAAAGTTCAAGGTTATAAAGCACCTTTTGTTATTAAATAATGGTCTTTTCCTTATGTCCTGCCTGATTCAACTGTAAAAAGAACTATATTTTTCTCTAGATATTCTGAAAAGAAAGATCATACCAAGCTAGAAGCATTTCTTAGTAGAAAGATTTTAGTTAAATCAGGAAATTCAGCATCTCTCCCTGGCATCACTTCTCATTGGCCATTTCACTGGGGATCAGGATAGTGCTATTTTCCAGGACCTTCCTTCCTCTCTAGAGAAAGAGAACTTAAGCCTTGTCCTTGGAAACAAAGAAGGCCTTGCCCCTAGAAGCACTACGTTCCTAAGTTACCAAGTCAGGATCAAGAGTCCAAGGGGTTGGTGTTGGCAAAGCTTAAACTCTGAAGTGACCATCCACACAGCAGGAAAGGGTGGGACTGTACTCACAGTCAGGATGTTCATATGGCAACCAGTGGTGTTTGGTATTCTGGAATTCAAAGTGGGAGTTACGCTGCTGGCACTGCTGCGCTCTGAAGTCCTCAAAGTGTTTTTGGCATTCTTCTGTATTACAAAGCTGATACTCAAAATTAACACCAGGACAATCCTGACCACCATTGATGGGCCTAAAGAAAAGACAACATTTCAAAAGGCCGTTTGGCTTCTGTCCAACTTGAGGCTTGCAGACACAGGGCTTAAGGGCAGAAAGCCAGAACTTCCAAGATGCCAGCACAAAGTGGATGAACTCATACTTTCTAATTCCAGTCCCTTCCCAAAGCACCCTTCTCTCCCTGCTGCAGGGTAAAACACCCCAAAACTCAAATCAGCTTTTTAAGCAGTATATTTCAAATGCTGGGCAAAAGTATATTGAAGAAACTGAAAGCATATATATGGATACAAGAAAGTTTTATTGTCTTCCATGTATAAAACATGTGGCTGAAACTCAAATTTTTATCATGGCTCTCTGTCTCCATCTCCTCTTATGTAAAATGAAAAAGTAATACTATCTTCCACAGAACAAAGTTGTCAGGATTAAATAAGATAACATATTTAAAGCACCTAGACTAGACTCTGGCTCATAGCAAACCCTAGCTGTTTTTATTATTGGCATTTTGGTTGTTTTTGTTTCTTTTCCTACACGACCATCATTTCTTCCCAAGCACACAGGCATGTGGAACCTGATAGTCTTTATCAAAGACATGCTCAAAGATATCCTGCAGCCAGAAATAAAAAGAGGGAGCTGCCTAGATGCTAAATTGTAGACCAAGAAGAATATAATATTCAATAATTACATTATTCTTTTTCTTTAGAAAATAAAGTTTGCTGAGCATACAATAGGGACTCGGGATAAACTTTTAGTCTGAGTGAATTAATGAATACCTTCCCCCTAATAGTTCCTTTGGCTGTCCCTCACCATCTTTCTATTGCCTTACTCTGAAGCAACTACACCTACCCATGGTGAACGAGTCCTGAATATTCTCAAACATCAATTTCTTTAAAAATCTCTAATCTTCATTCCATCTCCTCATCTTCATCCTTGACTACTCTCCATAAGACTGATAAATGACCACTATCCAAAAGTGATACTGGTTTAGGAACTGTGAACAATTTGTTTTTATGTCCTATATTTTTCATTCACTTCATGAAACAGAATATTAATCACATGACAGCATTTTCTAGTTTATTCAAAAATAACAAGAATTATACGGATTATACTTACATGGGATTATTGCACTGGCGGGTTCGGAAACGAACACCAGTTCCACATGTCCGCGAACAGGAGCCAAATTTTGTCCATGATCCCCAATTACCGTCTTGTTTTTGTTGATTAGCATTCTTCCACATGCAATGACCCTTATAGCACCACTTAGGAAGATGATAAAAGCCAATTATGAAAATCATGCAGACACTGAAGCTGAAGTTATTCAAGAACCCCTATTTGAAGATTTTTCTTTCTTTCTTTCTTTTTTCTTCCATGTGGAGATGCCTTTAAGATATCCAAAAGCCATTACACCATCCCAAGATACCCTAACAGAGGGGAACTTAGACTTGAATTTTTTAAGTATAAAGTTAAAATGAAAACTAATACAACATCCATCCAGACAAGTTTTTAAATGATATATTCACTAGTGACTATCAGGCACCAATAATTTTCTGGGCACCTATCTTGCCCAGTTGATACTATTCCACCCTCTATCTCTTGCTACCTACCATCATCTCAAGGTATGAAAATATACATCTGGACTTAAAAAATAAATAACATAACATACTCAAAATCATGATATTTGGCTTTCAAGGCACTTTTTTCTTTCTTTCTTTCTTTTTTTTTTTTTTTGGTATCAGTGATTGAACCCAGGAGTGCTAATCATTAAGCCACATCCCCAGATCCTTCTATTTTGAGGCAAAGTCTCACTCAAGTTGCTTAGGGCCTCACTAAGCTGCTAAGGCTGGCCTTGAATTTGCTATCCTCCTGCCTCAGCTTCTGGAGTCACTGGGATTACAGGCATGCACCACCATATCCTGCTCCGCTTTCAAATCACTTTGAATAAATAAACAATAAAATTTTAGACTTTTATAAGTAAACTTTATAAAATTTTAATTCACAAATTGTTCTGAAAGAAATACAGGTGATATAAATAAATGAGGAAAAGTAAGGCCCAGAATGTTCATGAGTAGTGGAAAGTCATCTGACCAAGAAGCAAACAGTGGGTCTACTAAAACTCTCATACCAGAGCACCATGCATATGGTGCCCAGAGTACAGAAGATGGTCAAAGGGCATTACTTTCCTTTACAACATTTTCATCTGCTTTTTCATACTATATACAATAAGTGTCTGTCTAAACCAAACTTTTGTAAATTTAATTACAACACAGTTATATTTAGAGGAGTTGGATGTTGAGAGTTGATTAAATAATAGTTTTAATAAAACAAAAAAATTAATTAACTCACTATTGCTCTTGATTTTAGTCAAAAGTCTGTGATAATGAATTTTTCCAAAGCCAAATACTATAGATAATGTTATTTGGCACCATGCCTAACATAATGCAGGTATCTGTAATGATGGGTTTTATTATTATGCATGATTCTCATCACAAGTACAGTTTATACACATCTGAAGTTAACCTTTTAAAAGAACTCAAAGCTGTGTTAATCTTCTTTGCCAGCTTTTGGTCCTGTCTACAATCTCTTATTTCTAAACTAGTCAGAGCTCTTCAACTTGAGTTTTTAACATGCCTTTATTTTGGGATCTCTGCCCTTATGAGTAGCATAGCTTGGTCTGCCGCCAGTATCTGAGCATTCAATCCTGGCTACACAATTTGAGATTTAAAACCTCTGGGCATCTTTCCCCAAGGAGCGAGGCCAAATCTTCTGTATAAATTCACATTACTTTATTTCTGGGCAACTTTCGCAAGGAATGGGATGCCAGCAAGTAAATCAAATCCCACTAGCAGGGGGCCAGAGATGCTGCAGAGCTGTTTCCTCCCATTCTATCTGTAGTAGGCTGAATGGTAGTCTCAAAGATGACAGATTCTAGTCCCTGGACTTGTAAATGTGAACTAATTTGGAAAAAGGGTCTTTGCAAATGTGATTAAATTAAGGATCTCATTTGGGGAGATTATTCTGCATTACTCAGTGGGTCCCAAATGCCATTACTTATAACACAGGGGGGCAAGGGGAGATTTCACACAGAAGCAGAGACTGCAGAAGGAGTAGTGAGCCACAAATCAGGAATGTGGATGGAAACAGGAAGCTGGAAGAGGCAAGGGACAGATTCTCCCTTGGAGCTTTTGGAGGGAGTATGACCCTGCCCACCCCCTCATTTAAGTTCAGTGAAGCTGATTTTGGATTTCTGGCATTCAGAACTCTCAGAAAATAGATTTCTGGTGTTTTAAGTAACCAAGCGTAGGGCAATTTATTATAGCAGTCACAGGAAACCAGCACATTATCATACTGTATGCTATGGCTTAGATATTAGGTGCCCCCATTGTATAAGACAATTCAAGAAAGTTTTGAAGTGAAATGAGAGTTTTAATCTAATCAATGCATTAATCCATTGGTATGGATTAACTAGGTGGTAACTCTAGGCAAGCTAGGCTGTAGCTGGAGGAGGCGGGTCAATGGGCGGGCTTTTGGTGTATATCCTTGGTGAGAGAAGAAGGCTCCCTCTGCTTCCTAGTTCCATGTCCTGGGACACATTGTTCCACCACACTCTTTTGCCATGGTGTTCTGCCTTACCTTGGGCCCAGAGCAATGGAGTTGGCCATCTATGGACTGAGACCTCTGAAACCAGGAGCCCTAAATAAACTTTTCCTCCTCTAAGTTGTTCTTGTCATGTCTGCTGGTCACAGCAGTGAAAAAGCTGACTAAAACATTGCATTTCCATAACAAAACATCAGGTACTATGGTTTCCATGAAAATGACAGCACAGCTATGTTTGTCATTTGCCAGACTTAAAAATTACCACTCAACATATCATAAATCTGCATTATATAGATAGATATACTCACTTTTCCAGCAGCACATTCAGTCCCATCAAGTGGGGGTCCCTTTTTAGTCTTACAAAAGTAGGGGTTATCAGGATGGCTGCACCAGAGCTGTTTACACGGGTCAAAGGTTCGGAACTGGAAGAGAGAATCAAACTCAGTGCTAAGTCTCAGATGGCAACATAGACACCAATGAAATGTTCTATAGTTTCTTCATGTCACGTCTTTTGTATTTCTTAATTTTAAGTCACGTAGTGCGACATGTTAAGAAAAACACTGCACAAGAATTCCAAGTAGAGAATACTTTTATTTTGCTTTTCTAAAATAGCAATGATAAACAATGATTTATTTGGGATTCTCTGCTAGACTTTTAGTTTTTCTGAATGTCATTTATACTTTCTGATTCTTCAAACAGATAATTTTGGAATTTTAAAATGTGTTAGTAATTGTGCACATTTCAAATATGAAATCTTATTATAACCATTTGGCAGTTCTCAAGCTATCAAAATGCCTTCTCTTTATTCCTGTAGTTATGAACTAGTTACAGATACTTGTGTACATTCTTTGCTCATCTCTTCATTTTTCTCTTTAAATGTAACTATTTTACTGTATTTTTTATAGAGTTTTAAAAATTTTTACATAGATTTTATATCTATTCCCTATCCTGCTAATTACCCACATAGAGCCTTGTGGTCATAGATTTTTTTTTTTTAATCCTTGATTACTTAATGCAGAAATTGTACTTTTACATGACATTGAGCCAAAGGTTTAGAATTCTAAGGTCTAAAACATTAATGGAGGTAAGTAGAAGCTCACGATGTATTATTTATAGACAGGCTAAATGCCTGTATATGAAATATTCCAAACAGCAAATCAATTTTTTTCATTACCCAAAATACATTTTTTCTTGCTCTGTTTATTCCAACATAAAAAAAGGCTTTCATTCAGTATGGAGATTCCTCAGAAAACTTGGAATGGAACCACTATTTGACCCAGCTAATCCTACTCCTTTGTTTATACCCAAAGGATTTAAAATCAGCATTCTACAGTGACGCAGCCACATCAATGTTTATAGCAGTTCAACTCACAATAGCAAAACTATGGAACCAACCTAGATGTCCTTCAACAGATGAATGGATAAAGATGTGGCATAAATACACAATGGAATATTATTCATCCTTAAAGAAATTATGTCATTTTCGTGGTAAATGGATGGAACTGGAGAATATCATGACAAGTGAAATAAGCCAAACCCCAAAAAACAAAGACTGAATGTTTTCTCTAATAAGTGGATGCTGATCCATAATGGGGTGGGGGGGGGTGGAGAAAAGGACTGTGGATTGTGCAGAGGAGAGTGAGGGAAGGGGGAGAGGGTATGGGGATGAGAAGGACAGTAGAATTAAACAGACATTATGACCCTGTATACATGTATGATTACACTACCAGTGTGACTCTGCACCATGTTCAGCCAGAGGAAGGAGAAGTTGTGCTCCATTTGTACACAATGTGTCAAAGTGCATTCTACTGTCATGCATAAATTAAAAATTAAAAAAAGGATTTCCCTTTTTTTTCTTTCCTTAAATGAACTACTAAAGATCAAGCATGGTCTGATGAAACATACCCCTAAACTGAACAGTTATGCAGAGAAGACTGGTTGTAGAGGATTCCACTGTGTATTTACTATGTACCTGTATTGTGCTAAACATTTTAATTACATCATCAAATTTAATCTCACTTCAACCCTATGAGACAAATACTGTCATTATCTACATTTTACACATAAGGAAACTAAGCCAGAGGGATTAAATAATATGCCCAAGGTAAGACGTTGAGTAAGTTCAGAACTAGAAACCGACTCATCCAGTCTTCCTATGACACCCATATCCTGATGCCCAGGCTATACCAATGGAATTTCATGTAATAGAACACCATAACCCTTCCCTGTGGTCACTAACACAGAATACAGGCTGTCAAGACAAATAAGAGCCATGTATCTAAGGCTTATGAGTCATCTATGGAGGTCAAATATACTAAGGAGGAAAAGAACATAAAGATTTAGAGCCTGAGAACCTTGGTTCAAAGTTCAGCTCCCTTATTTCCCAGATGTGTGTCTTGAGCAAGTTGCTTAACTTCTGTAGGTCTTGGCTCTTCCTTCTGTAGAAGTATATCAACTCCCTTCTAGTCTTTGGCAAGGATTAAGTAAGGCAGTATACTTAAAATATTTGATTTTACCATCTAACAATATAGCAAGCACAAGGTAACTGGTAGAGATTCTTAGACTTGCACCAGTGAGTTTGTAAAGTTCACCAAAAAGAGCTACATGAATAGATTTCAAGATGCAAAAACTAAATTAACTATGGGTAACATACCGCAGTGCACATTTTGTAACCAACACCAAAATCAAAACGGCATTGCTCATCCATAGAGTAATTTATTCCAGGAAGTTCTGGGAGTTTGGGCCAATCATGTTCAAAAGGGTCATCAAGGAGACAATCATAGGAGCTGCAGGAAGGAAAATGTTACAGGTAGTTAAAACTTCATTTAAAACCATATCCTAATGGGAACATGGTTTCCATGTTCTTAGCTTATATACTATAGAATTTCATCAGGTCATAGAGAAAATTCACAAAGACATACACTTTCAAGTTTCTGGCTTCAGTTCCATTTAGAAGAAGAGCCTTCATTCTTATTCATCGCAGCAAGGTAAGCCAACCACTACTTAGCCTTATTCATGTCACTAACTGAGCCTCCACATGGTGTGGCAGGGCAGTTTTTAATACCTACACTATAGAGTACAGATTATGTAATATATACAGGAATCACAACCATTCTCTTCCAATCCTCAACTCAACTTGTCCATTTGCTGAAGATTCTATAAAGACTTTAGTAATAGAAAATCATAATGCACTTAAGTTCTAGTCTTATGGCTGAAAAATTGTGATTACATTATGCAATCATCATGGCAAAGGCTCTGAATCATAAGAAAATGTTGATTACTGACAACAATATGCATTTACTGGGAATTTTGATATGATCAAGGTCCTAAGAGTCAATTTCATATTTGGAGGTTTACAGCATAAATGCTCTCATGACATGAAGCAGGACACATACTGGATGTATCTTTTCAATTCTTGACCACTGCATCGGGACCAGTGGTAACGATGAAATGCCGCTTGTACTAAGGGAGCCATGACACTGCCCATAGCAGTTTCGTCCCCACACCTGTTGCCTTGTCCATCATGCTCCATTCCCAACCTAGAACACAAAGGAGATCTCATGGGTAAGAGTCAATGGGGTTATGGCTTTTGTTTATCTTTTTGTTTGTTTGTTTTGACAATAAGTACTGGGAAAGATGTATTTTATAAGTCAACATGGCTCCCTCGTGGAAGCCATAGGCAGTGAAATTGAGAGCAATCTGACAAAAATGCCTCTCTTATTCCATGGCTATGAAAAGTTCAGGAGTGCCTCTTCAACACAGAGTCACTCATTGAGTTTCAGTGCATGACCTCCCCCCTAGTTTCAGCGCCTCACACTTGGCAAGGGATGAGAATTGCATGCTGGCATGTATTCTGCCCCAAAGTGTGAACAATACTGAGAGAAGCAAAGAAAAGATCTTTTTTTTTTTTTTTCTTTATAGCTGTCAACAGTGACTTACACATGGCCAGTTTCATGGGCTACTACAAAAGCAGATGAAAAACCATCCTCATGATTCAGGGTACAACTTCTCACTGGATGACACATGCCCGTGACTGGAGCATATCCTGTAGAGAATAACAATTACTTTTATTTTCATTTTATGAGAAAACCCATTAAGAATTACTACTGGACCTTTGCCTAGGGGGAAAAAAATAAAAAAAGCTTTTCAGCAAACAGGGGCAGCATTATTTCCCAGCTAGCAGTATGTGCCACATTCTCTTGGGAAAACCACAGGTAATGGTCTCTAAAAAGATTCATTGGGTCTGTATTCTCTCCTTTCATAAGAACAACAACAACAACAACAAAATTGCCTGGGGTTACCATTCTGTTCTGCCCACCAGTTAAGACTTGTCTTTCTGTTTTAGTAAATGGTCCTTCCTATCATGGTACTGATGAAGGGAGCCAGAAATTCCATCAATGTTGAAAAGAAAATCATCAGTCTGCTTTTTCCAAAGTCCGCATCAGAATTTATTAGATAAATGGAAGCTGACTTTGGAAGAAAGCTCTTTGGCAGCAGTCATTTCTCATGGCATCTCTTTTCTCATTCCAAACAGTCAGTGGACATCACACTGCATTTTACAGCATCCTCTCCATACCCCAAATGCACAACCATTATTTTAAAGGCAAGCATAATTTATCATGGTATTTAAGCAGCATCTAACATTGTGAATTCCAAAGAAGTCACTGAAAGCAATAGAAAGAAAATGCATACTTGGCTGATGCATGGTGGAAAGTGGTGATGGAGAGCTGAACATTTGAACAGACTGCCCAAATGAGGATTACTCTTGAAAAGTCATGCCCTTAAGTTTTCCTTCTATATATCAATGGCAATACCTTGCATTCCAGCAGGTCCAAAGTCTTGTCTGGTTAAGAAAATTGCATGATCATGGTGCTCAGGGTGGTTGGGATCAGATTTTTGTTGTTGGTAAGCCCAGCGACACACATTCTCTAAGCTCCTGTATGGGTTTCCCCTTTCTATGAGACTGATGGACTAAGAGAAACAGCATGTTAAAGACACATATAACATTTTCCCAAAGGCTTTCTATAATAACTTTTTCTAAAGTTGAAACTGGGATTATAATACTTAAGAAACAATTTAATGTTATTTGGGGCTTTAGATACCTGCATTGGTTGGGAATTCTAAATGCCCAGGAAAGATATCTTGATGATAATCAATACTACCTGTGTTAAAGTTAATGGAGTCCATTTATGGGAATGTCTGATACTGGGATTTGCTATTGTGAGCAAACTCAATATTAATCATTTGGGTAAGAATTTCAGAAGTCCAAAATATTTCCTGGCTCTGTTTAGATTTTAAATTTCATAGATATTAAGAACAAAAATATTGGAAAAGATTCTGCCAGGAAGCTTTTCCCCAGAGATATGAAAGTAAAAAATCTTAATTAAAATTTTTGTGATTTTTTTTGAGGGGGTCGGGAATTAATCAATGTGCAGGAAGAATAGAAGTTCTTCCATAAGCTGTCAAGTCTGGTAAAATCTTCGTTTATGGGAGGAAAGTCAAATTATATTAACCTCACACTAAAAACAACAGTTATTTGGAATGTTACCACTATCGCTTTATGGTCAAGAGTTAAAAGTTCAGGGGGAAAAGGGCCCATCGTTCAAGAACCTGGGCGCTGCACTCCCAGACTGTTTCTGGATGGAATAAGAAACTGAAATTGAAACCCCAAATAAGTCCCTACTTGGCTGACAGACTGAGAGTTTTGTTAAATTTCAGCAAATGTTATTATCAGTGTTTACATTCTTAATAGAATTAGCTAGATTTGTTATATGCTGATCACATATTTCTCCGAACAAATGACTTAACAACCAACAGAAGGCTATTGACATTTCCAGCTGATAGTTAAGTTAATAGTTAACTTGTATTCCTCAGTAGCAACACAAAGTAGGTCAGGTTTATGCAAGAAACAAAAGGTCATAACCCACTTGAATCTAATGTATGAAATATGATATGTCAAGAGCTTTGTAATGTTGTGAACAACCAATTAAAAAAAAAGAAAAAAAAAGAATATAAGCAATAATAAGTGTTAGTGAGGATGTCGGGAAAAGGCACACTCATACATTGCTGGTAGGACTGTAAATTGGTGCAACCAATCTGGAAAGCAATATGGAGAGTCCTTAGAAAACTTGGAATGGAACCACCTTTGACCCAGCTATCCCACTCCTCAGTCTATACCCTAAAGACTTGAAAACAGCATACTACAGTGACACAGACACTTCAGTGTTTATAGCAGCACAATTCACAATTGTTTAACTGTGGAAGCAACCTAGATGCCCTTCAATAAATGAATGGATAAAGAAACTGTGATATATATACACAATGGAATATTTCTCAGCATTAAAAGAGAATAAAATTATGGCATTTTCAGGTAAATGGATGGAGTTGGATAATATCATGCTAAGCAAAAATAAGCCAATCTCAAAAAATCCAGGGGCCGAATGTTTTCTCTGATAAGTGGATGCTAATTCATATGGAGGGACATGGGATGAGTGGAAGAACTTTGGAAGTGTCAAAGGAGAGGGAGAGAGCGGGCAAGGGGTAATAAAAATGATGGAATGAGATGGATACCATTACCCTGGGTAATTGTATGACTGTACAAATGGTGTGACTCTACTTCATACACAACCAGAGAAGTGAAAAATTCTGTTCCATTTGTGTACAATGAATCGAAGAGCTTTGTACTGTCATGTATAATTGATTAGAACTAATAAATAAATAAATAAAAGAGAAAAAAAAGAAACAAAAGGTCAGTGACACCCTATCATCAGACAAAGATAAGAGGATTCTAAATATATAATTAAATGCAAATATGTGTGCTTTTCCTGTTTCCTAAATGCACAAATTCAACAATATTTCATAACTGGGAAGATTAATTATGGGAGAGATACATGGAATTTTAAACATCCAGAAAATTGAAAGGTGGTTGCTTCCTGTATGTTTCCTTGTCAAAGGGAAACACTTTTAAAATCTATTTTATTATTCTGAAGGACAGAGACATCTAGTGTCATTTTAAAGCCAGTTAAAGTCAGTTATCTTATATGAAATGCCTACATGTACATTTTGACCCATTTTTTTGTTTTCAAAGGATTAAAACTCTTTTAAATAAAAAATATTACTATATTTCACTTTTAAGTAGAAAGATAGAAGTATTAAATATTGTTTTAACAAAACAAGAAGATACAGATTTCTATCTTTTTCATTCATTGATATATTCAAACAGCTAGAAAAGTGCCACATAGTAGGAACTCAACAGAGACATTTTGAATGACTATATGAATCACAAACTTGATGATAAACAAAGCTAAGAAAATTCTCTTTTGCTTAATGGTATCCTTTCATTCCACCTACAGTCATGCCTAAATTCAAGATAAATATCCACATCTCTGTTAGACAGAAGTAGAAAAGCAAAGGGTAGCCACATAAAAATCTGCATTTTCTGCTCAGATTTGGAGATCTCTACTCATTGTGGCAGTTTCTCCTCCTCAGTTTGGGCAAACAGGCATTCCCATGAGACTGGTCTGGATTAACTATGGGAGAGGGATATGTTATTTTAAACATCACTAACATTGCCAAGTTAGTTGAAACTGCAACAATTTAGTTTTCCTTTTGCTAATCCAGTCCCTACTGTTCACAGTCCACAATATTTTAAGATATTTTACCTTTGCATAGCCCAGCATTATCATGCGTACTAGGGCCACATTCATGTGTACTCCAAGGGACTCATCATGGTAAATTTCATTCACCTAGAAACAAAGCAGAAAATTGTCAAAAGAAAAACAACACAAAGGACTACATGAGATGTGCAACATTTAAGGGACCAACTATGTAAGTCATGTCAAGTACTCAAGTCAAATAACATTTTTTTTAAATTTAGTTTAAGCTGAATTCTGAAATGAAGTAGTTTAGCTTTGGAACATTCCTCAGACATGTGAATTATTGATTTTTTTAAACTCCACAGCAATATGAACATAGAAAATGTACTCACAGTGGGCTTCATGAAGCTCATATAGTGGGCTAACTGGGTCAAATAGTGGTTCCATTCCTATAGTTTTTGAGGAATTTCCATACTGCTTTCCAGAGTGGTTGTACCAATATACAGTCCCACCAGCAATATATGAGTGAATCTTTTTCCTCACTAACATTTATTGTTACTTGTATTCTTGATAATTGCCATTCTGACTAGAGTGAGATGAAATCTCAGTGTAGTTTTAGTTTGCATTTATCTAATTGTTAGAGATGTTGAACAGGATGTAAAATCACATAGTACAGTAACAAAGCCACACCAATATTTCTAGCAGCTCAATTCACAATAGCTAAGCTATGGAACCAACCTAGATGCACTTCAACAGATGAATGGATAAAGAATATGTGGTTTATGTACACAATAGAGTATTATTCAGTCATATAAAAGAAGGACTTTATGACATTTGCCGGTAAATGGATGGATCTGGAGACTATCAGGCTATGTGATATAAGCCAGACCCAAAATGACAAAAGTTGAATATTTTGTCTGATATGTGGAAGCTAACCCACAATAAATGGGGAGTGGGTAGGAATAGAAGTTCAGTGTATTAAAGAAAGGGTGGGTTTGGGCTGGGGTTGTGGCTCACCAACCCCAGTAGAGCGCTCGCCTAGCATACAGGAGGCTCTGGGTTCGATCCTTAGCACCACATAAATGTAAAATAAAGATATTATGTCCACCTAAAACTTAAGAATAAATATTTTTTTAAAAAAGAAAGAAAGGGTGGGTTAGAGAAAGGGAAATGAAGGAAAGGGAGTGGGGACAGAAATAGGAAAGACAATGGAATGAATCTGACATACTTTTCCTAAGTACATATATAAACACAGCACAGTGAATGCCACCATAGTGTATATCCATAAGAATGGTGTTATAACTAACATAAGATATATTTCATACTTGCATAATTTTATCAACATGTATTCTATAGTCACATATAACTATATAAAAAGAATTTAAAAAATAAAGCTCATGCAGTGTTTGTAAGCTTCTATGTTTGTGATATAACTCACATGTAACATTCAGCAAAAGCAACTACAAGAGGGTATCCCTGGTGCTGCAGCCATATTGGAGAAATGCAGACAGCAGGCATTTTCCACTAGAGTGTCCACAAGGCCAGCAGGAGTGTGATGTCTGCTTGTGGGGGCTCATGGTTGGGGGGTATGTGTGCAGGAGCTGTGGTGGTTTATCTGGGCTCCAGCAAGTAGGTGGCTCTCCCAGTGTCCCACAGGAGTCAAACAGCTGTGGCAATGATGGCTTAGGAGTACTTTGGGGAGGTCCTTCAGTATTTGAATTATTAAGGCATTGAACAAGTGCATATCAGATAAATGTCAACCCTGGATGCAACTCAGAAAGGCTAAACTAAGTCCCTACTTGTTACTTAATTTTTTAAGTTAGGTTGAAGTTTCTAAGAGTGATTTGGTACATTTTAATATCATGGGTGCTGGAATGAGAGCAACCTCAGAGATCACAGTCCAACTCTGTTTACACAGATGAGGAAGATGAGGCCTGTAGAGATTAAGTGACACATAAAACCAGCCCATTATTGGTAGCTAGGAATCTAAGGTTGCCTGCAATTACATCTTCTGATTAAGCTGGGGCAAAATGAGTGCAAATAAAAATGCTCAACTTGGCAAATGCTAGGAGAAATGGGAAAGGTGGGGGATCTGCCTAGATTACAAAGTTATAAGCTGTTCCCCAAAGCAAGGACCCAATACTTGTCAGAGTAACTAAAAGGGATGGAAAACTAACTGATGTTTAGACGTAGGCACAATCTAAAACCTGTAGTGAAAAGAATGAAGGAAAGCTGTAAAAAATACTCATGAATCAAACAACTTTGATTTGCCACATTGACCAAGAAACAGATCAAGAAATCTCAATTGAAATGTTTCAAGAATACAGTATGACTGCTCAGAGCCCCTTAAAAACCAGGGTCCTAAATGTAGACAGAAGGCACATTCACTGAATTTTTAGATAGCAAAAAAAAAAAAAAGAAAAAGAAAAGCAAAGCAAAGATGGAGGTAAAAGAGCTAATCTAGACTATATTGAGGACAACAAAGCGTAGTTTCATAGGAAAAAGGCAAAGTCCTTTTATGTGGAAAAATGCATTTATATACATATGTACATTTATAAATATACATACACATACAAAGTGCATGTCCGTATGCACACATGCTCACACAATATTAAGACCCAGTTTAATACCTGTCAAATGTAAACCAAGAAGCAAAGGAAAAAATTCTGCAATGTACATTTGCATCACATAGAGGTGCAGGCAGGTAGCTCATGCCCAAGCTGTCCCACTTATGCTGGAGTATACCTGAAGGATTCAGTTGATTTTCCTATGCTGTCTTATAAAAGAGACGTTGATAAGCATCTGAGAACAAGGAGCACAGAAAATGTGTCCTATGAAGAATGGCCAGGGAGGTATAGTAGTTAAAAGTCTGGACACTAGACATTAAGTCTCAGATAAATCCTGGTTCAACTTGTCATTGATTGTGAGCTCTGCATCTCTTTGAGTCTCAGCCAAATGAACATAAAAAGAAATACTACCTCATAAGAATGAAAAGATTTAACTAATGCAACAAACTGCTCAAAAAAATTTCTGATTGAGGAGGGAAAGGGTGTTTACAGGACATTTAGAGTACAGAAAGTACAATAGAAAACCCAGAAAGAAGACTTAATAAAAGTCATATGACAGAGATTTTAGATTTATACTGTATACCTACAGAAAATAGAACTAAAAATCTTCCCCATTAGTAAAGGAGCAAATTTCAGTTCAGTATAAAGAAAGATGGAATGTTAGACAAACGGCCTTTTTGCCCATGGGCAGGTTTTCTCTTTATCTTACATCATACTTTGTACTGTCTAATAGAAGACTAAATGCTCCCCACCTTCCCCTTCTGAATTAATTATTTGATTTTTTAAAATTCCCAACATTATAGTTCCAGTAAGAGCAAAAATTCTATAGCCTGTCACTAACATAGTCATCCAGAGGCTCATGGGTACTTCAAAAGACTTCTTGTAAGTCAGCTGTTTCAAATTAGAGCATGGCTGTACACAGAGGTATTAACATGCATTCAGCTTAATGTAGTCAAAATGTAAACGGATTTGATGTTTTTTTAAAAAAAAAAAAAACAGTTAAAAAGCAATGTTAGAAAACAAGCAAAATAAAGAATAAAACTTTAAAGAAAGTAAATAGGATGAAAAACTGAATTAATTTCTGTAGAAGGAGCCATGATAGAGGGTAGGAGGTACTTGCAGCTCTTGCAGAATACCAGTGACAACTACACTGTATCATAGTATGTGCATAAAAGTTATAGAAAAAACCTACACCAGGAGCTTCTATAAAACAAAGGAAACATGGTAGCAGTGACAAATAGCTTGGGATGTTTTAGTATAAAATGTACATATAATCAGTTTAAATTAGTAAATTCATTTGCACTTGGTGATTTTAAAATCAATATAATGCCAAGAAAAGTATATTGGGCAAAATTTGTGTTCCCAACAGCAATACCACATTATTGAAGGAGTAAAAGGACATTCTTTTTAAGAGTCAAATTAACATTCACTGAGAGAAAAGTATTATTTAACAAAAGTCACCATTATGCCAAGCTAATTTGAAAACAGGGTGCTGCAATAAAAACTGAAGCCAGTTATGAAATGTTCTGAGTGAGCACACAATTATGAAAGTATACATGAAGTATACATTATTATGTGGAATAATAAATATTTTTACATAGCAAGATGGTATTTTCTCAATGTGGCAAATCAGCAGTACCAAATGACTAGAACATGGAAAACTCTGGGTTTAACTTATTATTTTGCTTTCCAAGGCTTAAAAAAGTTGGTTCCTATATATATTTGCTTTTAAAATGTACTGAGTCATTTGGCTGCTTTTCATCTTGCCAAGCCTTATCAATGCCTGAGATTCAGTGATCTTACACTCAAAGACACAGGATAAGACTGGAGGGATAATGCAGCATTGCAGGATTAGATATTCAAAGCTCTGGACTCTGGTCCCAGCTCTGCCACTGATAAGCTGAGGGATCTTGGGTGACTTCTTAAACTCTTTGATGCTTCATTTCATTTCTTTGTTTGCAAATCATAATCTTAGTTGCTTTGCTTGCTTCTTATTTTGCTCAAATCAGGCAAGACACCATACAACTACATTCAGCAAAATACAAACAAGGTACTTCAGCATCAGCCACCTACCCCTGCAAAAAGTACTACAGATACATTTTCATAATCTACTTGAAAAGATAAAGTCAAATAATTGCCCCATCATAGTTTTCATTGAAAGGGAATTTAAGTTGCTTCTTTTTGAATTTTTTAAAAATCTCAAACAAATGAAAGATGTAATTTAAATTATCAAGAAAATTATTGGAAAAATCCATTTGACCCTTTTATTTTTGAAAACATGCTCTAAAGATTGCAGAAAAGCTCCTTCCAGCAGATGGCAGTATGCACATTTTGCAGCAGGTAAGGGACAATCATACCACATACCATATACCAGTTGGTAAGTCTGTCTTTCCCTATATTAATACACAGGTAAAATAACTTCCTTAAAGTTAAATACAATTTTAAAGTATACTGGGTAAAATGCTAAGTTTTGAATGCTCAGTTGACCCTTAAAAAAGAAAATACTGGAAAAATTTATTAAGATGTTTTTATGTCATCTAATCACCATATTATATGAGTTACAAAGAAATCCTCATGATCAGC